TACTTTTGCAGAGAGCTGTGCAGAGAGCCCCTGAAAGGCACTCGGGTAATTTCTGAGTCACAGAAGGCTGGCGCTGGAAGATCCAGTGCAGATACAGTCCTTTCCAGCTACGCCCAGCCCGTCCCGGGATCCATCCCTCCACTGCTGAAGGGAACCAGCAGAGCAGTGGGTTTATTTTGTGTTAGCAGGGTGCGTTGTTACTGGGTTGTGTGAAAAAGAAGATGGGGGTGTAAACACCTCTCATTCTCTTTTATGTTGTTGGAGATGTCGGCTGCATCGGAGCAATAAAACCTGCACCGCTGTGCCCCCTTCCCAGGGACTCTCTCCCCTCCCGGAAGTGTGAGCACGGCGGCCGAGCTTTTCTTTTGTCCAGGATGGCGGTCTCCTCTGTTATTTTCTCAAGGTCCTCCTGGCTCTCAGCTCTAATCCTCAGCTTTAATCCTCTCCTCTGGGCCTCTGGACCTCAGACCTCACATTCCAGAGCTAGAGAGGACTTCAAGGCATCTGGTCCCAACCTTTTTGCAGAGCAGGGGCCACGGTCCGGGAAGGGAAGTCATCTGTGTGAGATCCTTAGGAGGTTCAGCGTCAGGTCTCGAACCCAGGCCTCCTGACGGCCATGCTTCTACCCGCCTCCGTTCAGTGAATTTGGCCAGAAAGTGAAGTGTCTGTAAAGCCGCTGTGGGGGCTCAAGCACCTGGTGCAGGGCGGCTACCCACGGTCCATCTCTGCGTGTTCAGCCGTACGAGGCTCATGGGCCGGGGCGGTCTGACCCCTCTCTGTGTCCCTGGTGGGCATTTGCTTGGTGTTTGCCAGTGCGTGAGCCTCGGGGCGCCAGGGAGGGCTGGGGAGTTCAGCAGTGTGTAGGACAGGCCTTGGAAATTTAAAAAAATTTTTTTTTAAAGATTTTATTTATTTTTTTAGAGGAGAAGGGAGGGAAGAGGGAGAGAAACATCCATGTGTAGTTGCCTCTCGTGCACCCCCTCCCACTGGGGCCCTGGCCTGCAACCCAGGCATATGCCCTGACTGGGAATCGAACCGGCCACCCTCTGCTTCTCAAGCCGGCACTCAATTCACTGAGCCACACCAGCCAGGGCTCAAATAAAATTTTTTTTAAAGGAGATTATTAAGCCAGAGGGAGGATAATCAAGACTGTGAAAATTAGGTTTTCATTATCTTCATTGACTAAGGCAAAGGAATTTTTATGTGTTGAATCCTAATCCTAAATAATATATGTGTTATATACTCAGGTGATCTACAGAAAAATACCCATGAAACTCTGGACACTATTCTTGGGGAGGGGGAACATGCATAGCATTTAGCTTAAATTTAAGAAGTTCTACCAGCCAGTTTTGCTCTTGTTTTAGAAATAAAACTAAATTCCTATTTCTGTTTTCAGGTATTTGTCTGTTGCATATACTGATATTTTAGTAACAGATCAGAAATTTACTTCTACTGAAGTACAACTACAACTCACCTACTAAGCTAGCCTACTGTGTGGGGCAAAAGAAGAAGAGTTTTCTGCTGAATGTAATTGGTGTGGAAAACACACATATTCACTGGAACCTCATTTCCTTTGAGGGCTTTAGGCATCTTCAGTACCGAGTTTTCCTGACTTGTGTCTAAAATGAAGTAACTTCATTCTAAAATTCTGACACGGTACATCGCTGTAAACACCCCTCGTTGCTTTCTTCCTTTATTGTTCAGTGCAGTTGTCCCCATTTCCCCCCATGGCTCTCCCCTGCCCTGCTGTTTCCTGTCAGTAGGTGTTGACTCCCACACCTAAACTTTCGTGTGCATTCCCGTCGTAAACAGTGGTGTGGGTGGTGGGTTCCAGCCCATGGCCCTCTGGCCTGTTGTGGGCCACCTCCCATTTGTGGTGCAGAACCACGCAGTCCCCCTTCACTGCAGTGGCATCGGCGCCAGTGTGAGCACCAGCTCTCACGCAAGTACGTCCAGGTCACCGAGGCAGTCACTGACCATGGAAACCTGTCCTGGGGGCTGTGAAAACCAGAGTGGGGATTTAGATGTTTCCTTAATTGCCAGAGCCTGAATTCTTTTAAAGCCCCTGGATACGTGGACCAAAAAAAAATGTGTGTGTGTGTGTGTGTGTGTATAAATAAAAGGTCCAGTCACCTGCGTAAATGCTTTACTTTCAATACTGTTCAGAACCTGTGCTGTATTCCAGCACATCGCTAAAACCCTTTACAAAACGGAAGCCAGCTTCAGCCCTCTCTGCAAACGTGGGACTGCTGGGCGTGCTGGTGACTGAGGCACGACCACGCTGTCTGTGGTCTTGAATCTGGGCGGGAGCCTCCCTGTCTCCGAGAGCATTCGGAATTGTGTGTGCATGGGCGGGGGCGTCACTATCATACGGCCCAGTGACAAGGACGCCTGTGTTGAGTTTGGTGCTGCACACCCTGCAGTCCTGGATATGGTCTTGCAGAAGGGAGGCTTGGGTGGCCCCGAGTGCCAGTTGTGTCCCCGAGAGACACCACTCAGGTGATGACCATCGAGCCACCCTGAAGGTCGAGCAGCCTGGCCATTGGTCAGAAATGCTGTTCATGTTGCATGGAGTTCATGCGCTCGTCATCTCAGCCTGTGTCACGGTCAGGCAGCACGCCCTGTAGCTGGCACACGCATAACATGGATTGAAATGAGCTTGGAAGTAAAGCAACAAGAGCTGCTGAGATCGGGGTATTTAAAAGTTAAACAACGTAAGTTTTCTGCCGTGGAGCCTGATACCAAGCAAACCCTCCACAGCAAACACATGCGCCACAGCGGAGCAGAGCAACGCCAGGAGCTCCTGGGCCTGGAGAGCCACTGAGAACCCTAGATGTTTAGAGTTAAGTACAAACGTGTACAAATGGCAGAGCATTCAAAGCAATGTGGAAAATGAGGTGTAAAAGCAAGGATTCTTTTCAATGAGAGGAGATGACTTTATTTGTATACATTAAACCAGTTGAGGTCTGTGCAGCTCCCAACCTGGCCGTGGTCTGGAGTTGCTTTCTGCCTCATAAAGCAAAGTAGAGGGTTTGTCTTCTGGGAGGACTAAGTGGTCTTCTCCTCTGAAAATGCCTCCTACATAGTTGGGGAAAAAAACAAATGTCTTTTAAAGTAGGAATATAGATACACACACATACATATACATTTAAATTTTAAAAAGTAAGGTGTTTAAAATATAGGACTGTCAAAAATTCAGTCCCAACAGTGGCATATCGCATGTTTGATAACACCAGAAAAGTGACTATGGAACAAGCACCGTGTGTGAACATATATACACATATTAAAACCAACTCGATTGTGTAATCTTAGGGGGGGTTCTGAACGTGTCTGGGACGCCCCACATCAGAGCTGGGCAGTGCTCCTGTTGACAGGCAGGCAGACTGGGCGGTGGAGAGAGAGCCTGTTTGCTTCCTGCGGCTTTGCCCCATTCCGCGAGTGCTGCCCTGGACCGGGCCTGCCCTTTGATTTGCCGTCTCCGAGGGTCTCTCCAGCCTTCCCGACTGCCTTGGGTGCTGGAGCACATGGAAAGGAGTCTGGAAGGGCCAGGCAGCCTGAACTTGGCAGAATGGCTGGTGTGGGAGCTGCTGACGGTCGGATCAGTCCTGCCGGCAGGTGTAGATGCTACAGGTTACGCGACCTCTCACTGCGCTTCATTTCTAAGGAAGCCACTGCCTTCATGTTGGCTTATGGTGCCCACCCTCAGGGAAAGGGTCCCTTTTACTGGGTGTCTGCTTTTCCAAAGAGTTGTGTGAGGTTTGAGTCACGAATCAGCCTGACTCAGAACTTCAGAACAGGTTCTTCTAAATTCCTTGAATCATTTTGCAAAGTGGTTACAAGTTGGTGTGATGTTCACCTTTTTCTGTTTAATTACTAGCTTTGGTTTCGGGAAGTGCCATTTTCTCACTGCTGGCAAATTTAGAAACGATCAAGGTTTAGAATTTAGAGTCTGAAATCTCCTAGTCAGAAACTCTGGTCTTTTATGTTTGGGTTAACCAGGGTCGCGGCATCCGGTTCTGTTTCCGCGCCGGTAAATAGCAGAGTGAGAAGGCACAGCTGAGGCCTGGGGTCTGCTGGCGCCCCCCCCCCTCCCACCTCCGTGTCCGCTGCAGTTCTGAGTGCGATGTTCACGGTGGGCTTAGCTGCCCATGTGTGATCTGGAGCTGCGTTTGTTACTGGAATATTCGACTGGGGGGCTGCTTGTTGTGTCTCTAAGATGTTCTCTTACTTTATGTTATGCCTCATAGCAGCCATTTTGTGATTTATTTTTAATTTTTAATTTAATACCTGGGGCTATGTGTAGTAATCTGAGAGCGACAGACAGACAGATATCAGTGTGAAAGAACAGTGATTGGTTGTCCCAACTGGGGATGGAACCTGCAACCCTTCGGTGTTCTGGACAATGCTCTGCCCACCTGAAGAATTCAATACATGCCTGGTCTTGCGCCTCAGCAAACTTCAGTGCTTTAACTTGTGGATCTGAGATTGGAGGGCAACGACTGTTAAGACTGGAAATGCACGCCTCATTTCCTTTGCTAGTAATGTCCACTGCAGACCCTTTCGGACTTACTGCCTATGCACCGAGCCCCTCCCCGTTGCTGCAGTCTTGAGTGCTAGAAAGAATCGTGGTTCATAAAGACCGATTTTGTTCCCAAAGTCAGAACTAACGTGAGGCATCGCGCGTGTGTGTGCACTGAGAGTGGTGGGGGAAACATGCTAACTGTCATCGAAGTGTTTTTGTAGAGAAACGGCCTAGGCAGAAGGGTGGACGCACTTGGCCAGAGGAGGGCGTGTGCGTGGATTTCCGCTGTGTGCAGGTGTCTCCCCTCAGCAGTGTGTGCGCGCGCACGCGTGTGGTGAGCAGCGTGGGGATGGCTGTTGGAGAGGAATGAATGCACGCGTGCACGTTCCTGGGTAGCTTGGCGTTCGGGGGAGGCTCGGGAGATGATGAAGAGAAAAGGCGCTCGGGTAAGTGTGATTTGTTTTGTTCTGTCCCCTAGATCAATGTCCGGGTCACCACCATGGACGCGGAGCTGGAGTTCGCCATCCAGCCGAACACGACAGGGAAGCAGCTTTTCGACCAGGTGGGCTTCTGTGACCGTGAGAGAGAATTCTTATTTAGAAAAAAAGTTTTACATCAGCACAGTTTGTTTGCTAAGCATATTCCTTTGGCTCACTGCCCACTTCTGTTTGTGGAACAGACCCTTGTCCCCCTGCCAGGGGGCCCGCACTGTGAGCTTCCCCGGGGCACCTCTCCTTCACATCCCTGGGTGGGGACCTCAGGGGACACTTGAGCAGCACAGGGCTGCACCCAGAGCTCTGGCCGCCCTCTCCCCCCAGGGTCCTTGTGGTCACCCTGGCTGTTTCCTGCCATCTGGTCTGTGGGCTGGGTGCGGCGGGGGCCAGACACTGCCCAAGGGCCCCAGGGGACCCGAGTGGGCCACAGGTTCTGGGGTCACCCTCTCCCCAGCCCTCTGACTGAGCTCGCTCAGACCCTCGACCCTGAGTGGGGCATATTCTTTCGGATTTGTTCTTGCAGCCTGAAGGTGAGCGCGGGGCGCTCTAGAGAGAACAGTGAGCTGCTGGTAAGGCTGTGATAGCTCTTCTGACGGACAGGTCCTTACAGTGAGGACAGGTCCTTACAGTGAGACCGGCTGTCTTCGCTAAGTCAGGGCGGCTCTGGGGCTGGGGTCCAGCAGGGCAGCAGGACGGGCTGTGAGTTTGCAGGTCCCCTGTGCCACACCTGCCCTTCTGAGGCCCCCCTGGGAGTAGACCGATGTCCTGTATCTGGGAACTAGCCCGGAAGTTGGATGGGCGCTGGCGGGGAAAGCTGGGAGGTGGATTCTAGCAAATGCAGAGTATGCGGGTGACTCCTCTGTGCTGCACGGGACCTGCCTCGCATTCCCCCACCCCCAGCCCTGGCCGAGCGGCCCCAGGGTGACAGGTGACAGGGTGTGCCCGTGCCTGCAGGGCGGGTGGACACCGCCTCATCTCTCCTCATCGCTCCCTGGCTCTCCCTGTGCTAGGATTTTGAGGTCCCTCCCTGGCTCTGCCTCACCCAATAAGGATAAAAATATTTACTGCTCTGGGCGGGGCTGGACTTGGGGTGAAATTCTAAAGGTTCTCCAAAGAATGACCCATAGCCGTGGGCACTGGGGTGGGGGTTGACGGGGGGAAGGGTGAGCAGGAGAGAGCAGTAGGGGGGTGTTGCTCTGCAGTAGAGCAACAATTTTAGAAAATGGAAACACAAAAAAGAGAGAGATTTCTCCTGAAAGACAATCCTTGAGGTAAGTTCGCCAGCGCCAGCTGACCTGCAGGGAGGCACAGTGGTCAGGGCCCAGACCCGGTGGGAGGCCCCAGTGCTAGTGGTGGCTGTGCCTGCAGGCACCTGCCCCTGGTTCTGGAGAGTCCTCGTCTGTATTGAGTGGCGGCTTATTTATGAAGCAGAGCCGGGAAGCTCTGTGTTAGGAAAGGTGGAAAGTTCTGGTGTGTAAGCCACTTAGCTCCCCTCGCCTCCATCTCCCACCTTCCCTCCCTGGGTTGCTTTTTGGAGACGGCGTGAAGAGGCCAGTCAGAGCTCTCGGGGCTTGCTCTGCGCGCTCCGTGGGGGCCCCCGGTGGAGGGGGTGGAAGAGAGCGGGGCTCACCCCAGCTCCTTGCTCTCGGGCCTCAGCACCGCATGCTTTTTTCTAACTGTGCGCCTCTGTGCTGGGCAGGGAGCTGCACCCCTTGCAAGACCGTCTCAGCTCCCTGACCTGAGGGACCACGTTGGCAGAAGGCCACATGTCCCTAAAAGCTGCATAATTGCAGTCAGTTTGGTGTTTACGTTGGTTTCAAGCCAGGTGTTCTTCTAATACTAGATTAGCTGCTCTCTCTCCAGGAACGTGGAGCCCTGGGTTAGCAGGTGTGTACTGGTAGCCTGAGCTCAGCCAGTAGAGAGGGGTTATTTAAAGAATCTAAACACACAAACCCAACCAGCATGGCAAGCTTTGATGGGCTCTGCATCCAGGTTACCCTGAAGCTCCTCAGTCTCCCATCAGCCACCGCTGCGAGCGGTATGACTTTTGCTGTATTACTTTCCCCAACCCTGACCTCCCCACCCCCCAAAAACAAAGTCCCCTGAACCACAGGCTAAAGAGGAGGCGAGGCCGAGCCTCACTGTAACAAGCACCCCAGAGTGGCCCTTTGGTCCGCGTCTCAGCCAGCCCCCAAGACAGGCCTGGGATCCCACTGCCCATGAGAATTGAGAGGCGGGGTCTCTCTCACAGAATTCACGTTTCATTTTTCTTCCGTTTTGTGTATTCCTAATGGAAAAGTGCCACGCACCCCGAGAACTCTGGGGTTGGCGTGCGCCTGGGGGAAGGCCAGGTCCCCGTGTTGTGAGTGGTGGGGGCTCTGAGAGGGACTTACTGCGGGCACACAGCACCGGGGCGAGGAGCCGGCCCCCTGCCTCTTCCCCCTCCTCACACTTGTCTTGTTGCGATGCCCAGGCAGGCTCCCTGGGGTTCCATCCCACCCCCGCCCTCCTCCCACCAGCAGCGCCCCGTTCTCCTGGGTGGTGTTTAGGGCCTGTGGGCTGCACGGGACTGTGTCCTTTCTCTGTTGCTGCCCTGTACCCCTTCTAGATCTGGGAAGCTCATTGGTGACCCACCCGCCAGTCACTAAAATGTGGTCCTCGGTGGACTAGGTCGAGAGTTCGTCTTACCCCCTCCCTGCACCCCGTCTGTCACTGAAGTCCCCTCAGCAGAAACCGGCCAGTGCGGTGGCCATGACTCTGGCCTGACAGAGCGTGTCACAGTGGCCAACAGCCACACAGGAGGCAGGAGTGGAGCTTTTCCTTCAGGTGGCAAGGAGGGAGTTGCGCAGTGATCACGTGTGCCCAGCGTCTCCATCACCAAAAGCTGCCCTCCAGCTCTCGCTGGAGGTGGAATGAAGTAGACACAGCCCAGCCTTTTCCCTCCCCCAGCCTGCCACTGGACACGCCGCTGCTCACCTGTCCAGGTCCTGCCTCCCTGGGGAGGGTCCACTCGGGTGGAGCTGAGGCCCACAGAGGGATGGGGAGGTGCATTCTCCAGGAATGTAGGGCTTCCCTTGTCCGGAGGACATCGAGGTCGGTCATTAGAAGGGACAGCAGAAGGGAAGGGTGTTTGATTGCATTTCATCATTTGGGGGAAGCTGCAGGATGCAAGCGGGGCTTTGAGGCACACGACAGCTTCCCTGGAAGTTGATGGAAGAGTGACATTGTGAAGACAGGTGGTGGATCGGGCACCGGGGACAGACCTTCACCAAAAGAGTGGGGCTCTCAGGCTCCGTCCATGGTGTGGTTCCCCAGCTGGACCTGTTCCGGGAAGGGGGCTGGCCACATTGCATCAGATGGGTGGGAGGAATCTGGGCTGTGGTCCTGAAAATCCGCAGTGGTCTGCCGGGGATGGGGGAGGGACATCAAGTGGACAAGTGTGAATTGTTTCACACCAGCGAGAAGCTGGGCGGAGGCAGCAGGTGGTGGGTGGAGCGGAGGGACTGGGGCGGAGAGGCAGTAATTGCTTCATATGTGGGGCCTTCTCGTGTGGCTTTGAAAGAACCCAGAAAGTAAGGCAAGGCAGGTCTCGTATGGAGACACCCAGATGGAGACTCTCGGGAGTAAGAAATTGGCAGAATCAGGCACAGTCGGGTCCTCAGATTGGCTTTCTCTGCATTTGGCTACCACAAAAGCAGGACATTGGGTTTTGTAAAAGACTTGCCAGTGAAGCACTGTGAAAGAGTCCAGTTTTCTGTCACATCAGCGCAGGCGGGGAGCCCGGTAGTGCCATCTCCTCGCCGTGGGGTGAGCAGAGGAAGCCCCACCCCACAGCAAACGAGGGGGCACATTCCGGGCGTGTGACCTGCACACTCCCGGAGGTCCAGCGAGGGTCCGTCCCTGCCGGTGAGGAAGCAGGCCCAGAGCAGGAGTTTGTTTTGAATTTCAGGTTTTATTTTAACAAATGCTCCAGGTGTCCTGATTTGTCATTTCTGGTGTGTTCGATCCTTTCCCCCTTTAAACATGATAGAAGCCATCAGCCGGAAGGGTGGGATCCAAAGCGGTTCGGCAGCACTCCCAGACTCGGTCTTGATGGTGTTGGACAAGTAGGCACAGCAAGTCGCCCTTCTGTTTCCAAGACACATGAGTCAGCAGGGTGGGGCCACAGCAGACGTTTTTTCTGTCCCCGTGGAGAACTTTCCAGTGTAAAATCCTTTCTGTGACCTGTGGGTGAATTCCACCTTTCTATATCAGAATTTGGAGTTTCTGGAGGCTGAGCGAATGCTGGTCACCCTGGGCATGTGTGAGCCAAGCGCCCCTGCCCCCCTTCCTGGCAGGTCGCCACCGCCTGTCTGCATCTCCCTGAGACTGTCAGGCCCTGCTCTGGGGGGGCCGGGGCAGCGGCAGGGACGCAGGGAGGGGCGGCCAGAGGAGGCCCAGGGGGTTCCCTGGCTTCACACTGGTAACTTCAACCCCTTTTCCACATGGGCACACCTGACAGGTGACACGCACACCTGACAGGTGACACGCTCGTGCGCCCTGGGTCATGCACGATTCTGTGCTGGCTGCTGTCACCTGCCCTGCCGTCCTCACTCGGCTGAGTGGGGTGTGGAGCACAGAGGGGCAGGAGTGAGACTCCATAAGATCCGAAGACCCTGTAAGATTGAAGGTTCACCTCAGTTTTAACAGCCTAAACTGTTGTTAAAAGTAAACACTCCGTGGCCCTGGGGTAACAGCCTGTGTCAGTGCTGAGCCACTGGACACACGCAGGCCAGGCCCCAGCGTGGCTGTTCAGAATCTCATGCTCTCCCCCCCCCCCCAGGTGGTTAAGACCATCGGCCTGCGGGAAGTGTGGTACTTTGGCCTCCAGTACGTAGACAATAAAGGATTTCCCACCTGGCTGAAACTTGATAAAAAGGTAATCCAAGTTAACTCTTTGCGGGCCGTTGGTTGGGTGCCGGCGCTCCGTGCTGACGTGCAAACTCGCACGCCTCGCCTGGTCTGGGGATTTGGTTCCTTTGAGTTCTTCTGCAGTGTCTGCGGGCAGACGGGCCGCAGGGCTCCCGTGGACGGGCCGTGGGTCGGGAACTAGGCCCTGGCGTCTTCTCCTCTCCACTCAGTCATCGGTGTCAGCATTTAGGTGACCTTAGTGTTTTTTTTCAATGAGGTGGTTAACCGTGTAAACCATGAGTCACCCACTGTTTTGTAAGGACCTGCCTGTAACAGGTCATCTCCCAACTCTAGAGACTAGATAAGTCCATAAATGATCATCAAGAAAAGCAGTCAGCTAAATCCCCCCCCATTTGGAAAATGTCCCTTTTCCAAACCCTTGCTCCACATGCCCCCCCACCCCAAATTATGTAGCAAGTCAGGAGGGCAGCTGGAGCTGAGAACGAGGGAGGGGCCTGTGGCATTGTTAGCGGTCAGTTTCACAGTCCAGGGCTGGACCCGCTGCGGGGACCAACTCCTGGTTCAGGAGGTGTCTCCGAACTGTGAGTTCCCTGGAATCGATGGCAGTGTCCCCACAAGATCAAGGCTGCACCGAAGGCCCTGTGGGCCAGCACCTGGCTGTTGCTAGACTCCAGCCACCCGTGGGAGTGGAGTAGGACTTTTTCAGATGGCTCTTTTTTTTTTTTGTCTTCTTTGCTAAAAAGGTGACTTTCGAGGTAAGCACTATCTTTCAGAAAACTAGGCTGAAGGATCCTTTTTGAGTCCATGGTTAGAAACCTGGGTTTGGGAAGGCAGGTCTTTGTCTTCTGAACTTGTAGTGAATGTGTGGCTCTTGTCGTCCAGGTGTCGGCCCAGGAGGTCAGGAAGGAGAATCCGCTCCAGTTCAAGTTCAGGGCCAAGTTCTTCCCTGAAGATGTATCTGAGGAGCTCATCCAGGACATCACCCAGAAGCTCTTCTTCCTCCAAGTGAAGGAGGGCATCCTCAGCGATGAGATCTATTGCCCTCCCGAGACGGCCGTGCTCCTGGGCTCCTACGCCGTGCAGGCCAAGTTTGGGGACTACAGCAAAGAGACGCACAAGTCCGGGTACCTCGGCTCCGAGCGGCTGATCCCCCAGCGGTGAGCCAGCCAGGGGCTTTGTCGAGCGTGGGCGCTGGCCGTTTCCTTGTCCGTGCGTCGGCAGTCACGTGCTCTGGCCACCTGCAGGCACTGACCCAACACAGCGACTGTCCTACAGCAGTGGTGGCCTGTCCACCTGGTCCGGGCCTGACCCAGCCGCCGCAGGGAAGGGGCCACACCTTGTGGGAGCTAAAGAGGGACTGCGTTAGTTGAGGATCTTCTGAAGCAGTCACATTTCTCACGGTCTCACAGCTTCGGTCTTCGTGGTGTGGAGTAATTTCGCCCCTGTTCAGTCTGTTTTTATTCACAATTAGTCCCATAAACTGCCCCCTTGGGCAGAAGAAACCTCTTAAAATAAAATGCCCTTTTAAATTTTCTTCTGGCAGGACTGGGTTCTCGATTCTAAATCATCCAGGTTCTTGGTTGTCATCAGTAGGCAGTGGCCCGTGGGGCGGTAGAGACGGGGGTACTTTGAGGTGATTTTATCCAAAGGAAAAGCCGAGGTTTGCATGAGGGTGGGCGGCGGCTGTCACTCGCCTCTGACAGCCCTTTGGGGTGACGGTGCCACTCCCTCTTCCTCTGCGACCAGGGTCATGGACCAGCACAAGCTCACCAGGGACCAGTGGGAGGACCGCATCCAGGTGTGGCACGCGGAGCACCGCGGGATGCTCAAGTGAGTGCTGGCGGGCGGGCATCCCCCTCACTCCTGACCCCGCCCCCCCGCCCCATGCACTGGTGGAGGCTGCTCCGGGCCTCACCACGCACTGGAACGTGACCCGTGTTTCTTCTCCCCAACCAGAGACAGCGCAATGCTGGAGTATCTGAAGATTGCCCAAGACCTGGAAATGTACGGAATCAACTATTTTGAGATAAAAAATAAGAAAGGAACCGACCTTTGGCTTGGAGTGGATGCCCTTGGACTAAACATTTATGAGAAAGACGATAAGTGAGTTGGACTTTATAACTACCTTCAGTTGGTGGGGGAGGCGGTGGCAGCTACGAGCGAGGGCTACTTTTGCGGCATTTATCCGGCAGCTCTCGGGCCCCGTGTGGGAGTCCGAGGGCTTTTTGGCTGTGACGTGGCCGCCCTGGGGGTGGGCTCAGAGCTGTGCGCCGTTGCTCTCCTGTCACCGTGGCCACATCCCTGGTGCATGTAGCATGTGCCGAGGGGTCCAGCGGCGACCCCAGCCCCACCCCCACGCAGGCAGCCCGGCAGTGCTGGGCGGCAGGAGTTTGTGCTAATCCGACCAAGACCGTTCCCGGAGCCGTCAGAAATTCCTCCCTCTGCACACAGTAGCCTTTGTGCACGGACAGTGGAGCCCTGGGGGGGATCCCACGACGGCCCCAGGCGGTTCTTCTGTCAGGTACAAAGCCAGCAGGTGAGGGTCAAGGGGGCCTCCCCCCGACTTGCCGTGCCCGCCCCTGTGGTGGCCGACACCGACTTAGGCCTTGTTTCTGCCAAGAAGCTGGACACAGAAAAAAATCCTCTGGTTCCAGTGAAGGCAGTCTCTCTGGGGGGACTCCTTGAGCTCAGAGGCTAAGCCAAAGTTCTGGATCCTTCCCCTCCGGAGCTGCCCTGTCTTTTTGGGGACAAGAGGGGAGAGGCTCCTTTTTATCCCTGGAAGGTCTCTCTAAAGGGCTTCCCTGAACAAGCCCTGCTGAGGGTCATCAGGTTCAGGGTCCCAGCAGAATGGGGCGGCAGGTCTGGCCGAGGGGGCTGGGGTCCTGTTCCATGGACTTGGGGCAGAGCAGCCCAGAGTTCCGGCACCTTCACAGGCCCCTGCACCCGGAGTGGAGCCCAGGCGAGACTGCTGCCCCGGGCTCCCCTCCTGGCTTGCTGCGCCTCCAAGCCCCATCGGCTCTCCAACACGTCCTACGTGTGCCCCACCCGCCCACCTGTGGCTCCCCCCGACCCCGGGCCCCCACCAAAGCCCCTCTCTGGCGTTCATGAGGGGCACAGCCCTGCTTTTGACAAGTGACTCTGCGTAAAGAATATCCGTATGCCCCGCCACGTGTATTCTTGCCAGAACCCGAAGAGCAGATGCGGTCATTTGGGCAGGAGCCTGGGTCCAGCCGTCCTAAACCTACCACCCAGTGCCCGGATTAGACAGTGGTGGGCTTGGGCCCTGCCAGGAGGATCCCAGCCAAGCACCGTGGGCTTGTCAGGGAATCCCGGGAGCTCTTCTGGAACCTGGGAGTGAGTCCCAGGGAGCGGGAGGTGGTGGCTGGTTTGCAGGGCTGTGTCTGGGAGCCGAGCACAGGGATTACGTGTGGGAAACTGCCTTTTCTTTGAACGCCTTTCTCCAGTGACCAGATTTTGTAACCCAACCACGACCAGGGCTGTCCCAACAGGTTTTTCAAGTTACAGGGAATGGCCACAGGCAGGAACTTGCCGATGTCGGCCTGTAACTGCCCCCGGCCCACACAAATGTGCATTTTTCCCAATTAAAATTGGAGCTGCATGTCTCCTTCCACCCTCCTCACGTACCCTTTGCCTCAGTTCAGCAGTGACACTGGCAGTCCCCTCAAAGGGGGGGGGGACTGGCCGGTGGGACTGGCCAGTGGGACCAGCCCCCACTGTGGTGGAAGGCATCCCCGTCCAATGTAAAAAAAACACTCAAGCAGCTGTTCACCTGCCCAATGGGCCCAGCGTCTCCTTTTAAACAAATATTGACAACTGGTTACCAGCATCAGCAGGGGCTGTGACTCAGGTCTGAGGAATGCCGTGACAACTCCTAGCCGTTCAGTGGTGACTTACCACCCTTAGCAGGGCTCAGAGGGCGGCATTGGGAGTCTGTGCCCCACTCCTGCCTCTGGGCTGGGGTCAGCTCTCCTTCCCCCTGAGTAACGCACAACGGGGTCCAGCCCGTTCTACCGCCCCAGACCTTTTCTAGATGTTTTAAATAACAATTTGCAAACAAATTGCACAGCGGAAAGGATTTCACGGCAAACACCATATGCCCGCCACCAGGGTCCATCTGTGGGCACCTCCCTGGCTGGTCTCCCACCCACTTGTCACCGCACCCTCGGGCCCTCCCTCCCTCTCAGACACGGCTCCAAGTGAGACTGCAGGCATCTGCATGCTGCCCGAGAAATGCACGGTGTGGACTAGAGTGCAGTGGGTTCCGTTCTTCATCTGATGTAAAGTTTAAATGCAACGAAACGCACAGTTCTTCAGTGTTTGTGTACTGAGTTTGCACAAACACAAACCTATGAAATCCAGCCTCCTATCCAGATGTAGGACGTTGTCATCACCCTCGGGGGCCTCTTTTGAACTCTTAAACTGTTCATTTTGAAGTCATTTCAGACTCTCCAAAGGTGTCAGAAATTGCGAGCACAAAGGAGTCCCGCAGGCCCTTCGCCCAGCTTCCCCAAACGGTCACGTCTCAGAGGAAGCGGCACTGCTAGGAGCCTGCTGACCCCCTGCAGCCCACGTCACTGTGGTAGTCCCTTGTCCACTGGCGTCCTTCTTGCCCCGGGATCCCCCCAGCACAGCGTCCATGCTGATTTAGCCTGCCTCCCAGTCTCCTGCCGTCAGGAACGGTTCCTGAGTCTGTCTGTCCATCATGACCTCAACACTTCTGAAAAGTGCTGACCACTGACTTCGTAGAAAGTCCCCAGCTCAGATCTTTTTTTCCCAGGATTACATTCCCATTTTGCACGCTGGGCGAGGACTCCGAGGGTATGCGTCTGTCCTGGGTGCCCCCCCGGGGCTTGTGCAGCGTTGGCCCACAGCCCCGGACAGTCTCGTTCCCGGTGGTGCCGACTCCGACCCGGATCCAGGCGGTGCCTTCCAGGCTCCTCCTCGCAAAGTTACTTCCCTTCCCTTCCGTACGGACGAGTGCATTTTGGGGAGGCACGTTGAAGCTGTAAATATCCTGGTTTCCGTGCTTTCATCTGTTAACACTAGCACCGTTGGTGGTTCTTGCATGAAATAGTTATTACTCTGAGAAGTGTTGATTTAAAAGAAATCATTCCTGTTACGTGTGTTCTTGGAATTCTAATGCAAGGAGACTGTTTCTCTTCTCCATTTCTCTTGGTTATTTCTGTTCACATGGGCTCATGGATACTCGTTTTATTCTCTATAAGCTGACACTTTGTTGCTCAAATTGTTTGAGACTTGCCTTTACAAGCCCTCTTGAATTATCTACCGCACCCTTTCGATACGACCCCCTTACTTCTGGGGTGTTTTCTCTTTTACTTCAGAATATTTCAGCATTGTCTTGTACTTTTCCCTGCTCCAGGCCTGGAACCATCTATTTCTCGAAAGAGCTCTTGCCCCTATGATTCAAGAAGCTCACTTTTTTATTTTTATTTTTTTAAAGACTTTATTTTCTTTGGAGAGAAGAGAAGGGCGGGGGAAAGAGAGGGAGAGCAACAACAGTGTGAGTCCATCCGTCGGTTGCCTCTCCCACTCCCCCAACCAGGGACCCCGCCCACGGCCCAGGCTTGTGCCCTGACTGGGGATCAAACTGGCAACCTTTCGGTTCACAGGCCGGCGCTCAGTCCACTGAGCCACACCAGCCAGGGTTCACTTTTTTTAATGTGTGGCCTAAGCAACGAGAGACTCAATATAAATCCTTTAGAAGTGGCCCTGGCTGGTGTGGCTCAGTGGATTGAGCACTGGCCTGCAAATGAGGGGGTCACCTGTTTGATTCCCTGTTGGGGCACATGCCTGGGTTTTGGGCTGGTGGGGGGCATGTGAGAGGCAACCACACATTGATGTTTCTCTACCTCTCTCCCTCCCTTTCCCACTCCAGAAATAAAATCTTTTAAAAAATCCTTTAGAAACCTTGTCTGTGGGTCCTTCTCTGTTCAGGTCCTATGGGTGAACTCTCTCTTTAAAGAGGGAAAGAAATCCTTGTAGAGTTTAATTTCCTAACTGTGGTCGAGAATTAAAGGAGGCTGCCGGACCCGCTCTGAGTCGTGGCTCCGGGTTGAGTCCTCGTGTTTCCACACTGCAGTGGAGTGTGTGAGTGAAGGGCTGTGGACTGTGAACTGAGGTCTTGGGGCCTTGAAAAGACAAACCAAACCCTCCAGACGCAGCAGAAAGCAGGAGGCTGGAGCCATGGTGACAGGACCCCCAGCCCTGGAGAGAAGGGTCCCCGTCTGCCTGAGGGGCCCCGTGTTCCTGGGTCGGAAACCGTTTCTGCGAGGCCCGAGAGAAGGGTCTCGCCTCTTCAGAGCTTTGGGGGTTGACTGTAAGGCTGAGAATCGAGCGGCCATCCTGTAGGCCCTCTCTGGTCATGCGTGTGGCTCCCGTGTCTTGGAGGGCTGCACCCCAAAACAGAGGGGTCTTCCTGGCGTCCCGGTGCAGCCCCCATGTGTTGAGGATGCAGGTGGGGCTGGGCCGGGTGGGGCCCCGAGTTTCTTCCAGGTGCTCAGGGCCCTTTCAGCAAGGTTAGCTCTTGAAAAACTCTGTATATTCCTGCCCGAGGTGAAAATGCCACAGCACACTCCGCCTGTGAGTGTTCAAGTGTGAGGAAGCGTGTTGGCCAGGTAGGCCTCAGTGGGCGTTGCGATTCTGTGGGATAGGACCCTGAGAAGGACTGGGCACTTAGCACCAGAACTGCCACCCCGGCAGTGCCCCGAGGTCATTGCCCCAGCTGTGTGTGACCGCCGTGTCCCAGAAGGGCCATCAGTCGGGCTTAGATGGCTTCTCCAGGGTTCCGAGGCCGCCCCTCCCCCAGCGCACGCACACAGACACACAGGGACATACCCTGTCATGACATGGCTTCCGTTGTCACAGCAAGGCCTGCGTGACCCCCTGGACTTGGTGTGACACATGCTGGTGGCAGGAGGTTCCTGCCACCCTGCTGTTTTCCAAATTGGAGGTTTTTCTGGCGTCTGGGCAGGGACCGTTTTGGACGCAGCGTCTCAGAGTGGCGGCGTGAGGAGGGTCTGTGTTTCTTTGGGAACGGTGCCCGTGGGGGACGTGCCGAGAATGGGAGGTCGGGAGTGAAGCAGAGCAGTGCGATCTTCGGACGGTGCGGCGACTTCCCCGGGAAGGCCGATCGGAACGCCGGCGTCTCAGCCACCGTGGACTGCTCCCGAGCACGCAGGACGGCCCTGGGGCCTTCGTGAGGTGCGCGTGGTCAGTCTAGGCCATCTCAGACCTCGGAGGGTGACACGGGAAGGAAAACACGCGTCACGAAGAAGCAGAGGAGCAGAGTCCATCGCACGCCCTCAGCCCATCGGGACAGCACGGCTGTAAGTGTGGACGCGCCCAGCGCAGAGCTCCCGAGCGTGCCAGGCACAGCCTGACATCTGCAGGAAAGACGCCACAGCAGCGCAGTGACAGTGGGGCCGCTCAGCAGAAAGCCAGCAAGGAAACGAGGGACTTGACCCTCACTGAGCAGCCGCTCGCCCTGCGGCGTATGTCTTTGCCACAAGAAAGCGTACCCGCCTGGCTCTGGGAGAGCTGAATAATACCTCGAGGACTTAAATAATACGAGGGGAGTCATTGGGCAGGATGAGAGGGGGAGACTGGGAAGAGAGAGAGCAAGCAGGCCGCCGGCGCAGGTCCCAGCCGGGTGGGGAAGCGGGAGGGAGAGCCTTCCAGACGCCTCGGCGACCGTGTGTGGCAAGGGTGGGTCCAGCCAGACCTGGGCCAGGGTGGGCGGCTCTTGGATGCTGAGCTGAGGACTACAGGTCTCACCTGGTAGAAACGGGGGAGGGGGGTAGACATCTTCGAAGCAGGAAACGGACTGACTGAAAGGAACGTTCATCGGACAAGGAGCTGGGCTGGGCTGCCTGCACCTGAGAGGCGGTGTAGGGTGGCGGCATGCGAGTGGCCTGCAGAGACGGCCCGGGGAGGCGTCTCAGACCACGCGTGCGTGGACGTGTGTGGCCAGGAAGCGAGCTGGCCTCGAGGTTCCAAGCCAGGGTGACTGGACACGGTGTGGCATCCAAAACTGAGACAGGCTCAGCGATGGGAATGCGTGCAGTGTCCTAGGGCCTGAACCTTGCGAATGGCCACCTGACTGGGCTGGGACGGGTGGGGACTTCGTGGTAATGAGTGTAATGTGTGTTGTGCTTCCTGGGCTAGCATTGTACTGTTTAAAACTGAACAAAAAAAACCCTGAGCATGGATTTGCATGCCTCTCGTAGCCAATGCAAGTGCTCCTAACTGTCTGCCTTTTTAACCTCAGGTTGACCCCAAAGATTGGCTTCCCGTGGAGTGAAATCAGGAACATCTCCTTCAATGACAAAAAGTTCGTCATTAAGCCCATCGACAAGAAGGCGCCTGTAAGTTCATATGGAGCCTGCCTGGGTGACGAGGGGGCGGTGATGCTCGGAGTTGTGTGCGTGCACCCATGTGTCTGGGGAGCTGCCAGCGGGTCACAGCTAGGGTCAGGGATCTCTTGTGACACGTGGCTGGCTGCTGCGGTGGGAGGCTGTTGTGGAGGCCAGGTCATCAGTCAAAAGCTAGTGGATCGTCACCTGTTGTCAGAGGTCTTCATTAGGAAGAAAAGAGCCATCCTGTGTCGGTGACCTTTGCCACACGATACGTATTTCCTGGCTTGGGAAAGCGGACTGCGCTGCCGGGGTGTGGGGCTCCCGCGGCACCTCTCCAGCACCTGCCTGGAGCATGGGCGGTGATGACCACCGGCCTCAGGCCCACTGTGACTCCCAGAGCGGTCCTGCCACTTCGCCTGTCCGTGCTCTGGAGGGTCAGACCCCAAGCCCCCAGAGCGCAGCTTCCCCCACAGTCCCGGCACCTCGGCTGCTTTTCTTGTGTGGACGCAGCCTCCGGTTTTCTCTGACCCCTCGGCCCCCTGAGTGATCTTCACACAGGCACCTTCCTGTGGGCACCGGGGTCCCAGAGGTGGGAGTGGAGGGCCATCACCCTGGGAGCGTTGGCTGGACACGAGGCTTCCTGTCCTGGAGTCTGAAGAACGCGGTGTGTTTGCTGGTGGCCGCAAAGGCTGCTGCATTGTGGGAGTTCACTTTGGTGTCAGTATTTGTTCTCCTAACACTTAAATTCCAGCCTTTCTTTGCTCAGACTTGACGCACACACTCTCACACTCTGTAGTGTGGGGGGACCGTGAGGAGTTTGCTTTCTAACCAGAAATCTGGTTCTTAAGAAAAATCGCCGCTTGAGAAATTGTTACCCTCCTCAGGAACTTGTCTTTTCTGGTGCAAATGTTCCCTGCTCTTAGCGACCCCTCCCCCAAGCCCGAGGGCAGCCTTGCAGACAGTTCAGGTGACAGCTGCACCTGGCACAGACTCCTGAGCCCCGTGATGCCAGGGCGTGTCTCGCCGCGCCACGAGCGGAGGTCACGGTGCACCAGGAGCAGTGGGCATGAGGTCGGGCGGTGAGAAGGGCGAGGGCACCTGGCAGCCCAGGGGCTGCTCTCTGCTCAGGGGGATACGGTGCTGATTTTTCGGTCTTGTTAATTTGACTGACAGAAGCAGGAATTCTAGACTATGCTTTCTAAGAATTAAGTTGATGTTTCAATTTGAAGTAAGTGTAGCTTTTGCAAAGAGGGTTGGAACGCCTCCGGGTGAGGCAGCCAGTGTACTCTGGCTACAGAGGGGCCTGTGTGTGGCCGTCATGTAAAGGGGAACATGGAGAGGAGCGTGTGCTGGTTGCCCACGCACGTGCGTTGGGCCCCAGGTCAGGACAGCAAGAACCAGACGGGCCCCGCCCTCGTGAAGTTTCCATTCTGGAGGAGGAGGAGGAGGGTGGAAACAAGGAGATCAAGTCCTGTGCTCTCGGGCAGTGACTGCAACCCCGAGCTGTGATTAAATAGTAAACCAGGGCATTCGCTGGTTAAAGGAGACGTGGGACCAGGGACAGTGCGATCGCTTCAGGTGGCTGGGTCGTGTAGGCCCCACCGAGGAGGCAGCTCCCTGTGAGCGCCACACCGCCCTGGGGGTGTGACGGGAGCAGCTGGCGAGGGACTGCGTCCTCGGGCCCTCTGCACCTCACAGGTGGCCTCAGTCTTTTGCCTGGGGCAGTAGAAAATCCGATTTCTAAGTTTAAGTTTTTCCCTAGAAGCTGAAAAGGAAACCCCAGAGGCCTAGTGGGCGGCCTGTGGGGCCACGTTCCTCGTCTCCTCCCACGCGCCAGCCCCGGCCCGGCACCCGCACTTTCTGCAGACCCCCCCACCCCAGTGGGCCGTCATGCTGGCCAGGCCCCGAGAGCAGGTGGCTCCCTGCGAGCTGGGTCCTCCTCCCTGCCAGCCTGCACGCTGCAGTGCAGGCCGAGTTCTGACTCCTGTGGCGGGACCTCAAATACCATGACGGTTCACAGCCTGCCCTGGTGGCTCTGGCAGGGGCAGAGACCTCGGGGGCCAGGCAGAGGGCTCTTGGCACTGAACTGTCTAGCAGCTTTTGAAATGTCTGAGGAATGAAAACTTAATATTTGACTGTGAGCAGCTCTGCACTTGGCTTCTTTCCCCATGACCTTTGTCCCCACCCCCAATCTCTGGGCCAGGGAGCCCCTGGATGGGGCCCTGGGTGGGGGACCATCCTCGTTCCCCTTGACACTTCTTGGCCCTTTCCAAGGTTGCTTCGGGTTCATTTCCTCGAACGTTGCTCGCACCTACAGTTTCCATTTGTAAGATGTTCGTTCTCTGCCGTGTTCAGAAGGCTGGTCCGGGGTCACGCCGGTGCTGTGGTTTTGCACAAGGACATTGGCTAGACACTTGGATTTGGACACTTCTAATCATTAATGTCAGCTTGTAGCTTTTAACTTGAGGTCAGAAACTGTCCTCCCGAGGCAGTCAGTGCGAGGGCTTCCCTCCCCGCGGTCTGCAGGGTGTGTCTCTGCGAGATGAGATGCCAGGAGGGGTTGTCACCTGCAGCCCCTCTCTCTTCACTTGTTTCAGACCGACTTTTTCCCACAGAGGAGTCGCTGCTCGTCAGCTTCCTCCTTGCCTTGCTGGTGCTCAGGAGGCACAGTCGGGACCGCTGGGTGGTTTGCCTGTCTCTGCCTGGCTACAGCCTTGTTTTCTCTTGTGCAATGAGAGATGGGCGGGTAATAAAGGTGCCTGCTCCTCCCAGCTCGCAGACACCTCCCTGGGAAACCCGATGACTTAATGACAAGGTGTGAAACCCCAGGGAGAGCCCCACCCAGGAAGTCGTAGGCTCTGGGGCTTGACAGTCTCTCTCCCCAGCGTTTCTGGGGCAAATGGAAAGAGCCAGAAGCTAAGCAGGTCCTTCCCGGGCCTGCGGACGAGCCGGCCTGCACGCGTCTACGGGTTTCCGAAGTCGCAGTGGCTGTGCTGCTCTGCGCCTTCGTTTCAGCCGCTTGCGCCCTGGCCCAGTGGCCAGCGCCCGACGGGAAGGCCCGCAGTTGGGAAGAGGAAGGGAAGAGGAAGAGGAAGCAGGCAGGCATTTTAAATCACTCTCGGCAGGAGTTTCTGCACCACATTCCCCTCTTCTCTGTCACCTGTTGATCACAGTGGCAGCGAGGAGCCACCCCTGATGTCATCCGTGTCTTGGACCTCTGTGGTCACTAGTCATGCAGTTCTTGGAGTGGCCTCTCTCTTTTTAAAGAAGCTTCTCTGGCAGCCAGTTCGTAGGGCGGCCAGCCACCTGAGCGAGCATCTGTGGGCGCCCCAGTTTGTGTCACACCAGACAGCATTCTGAGGCCTTGCAGGGGTGATCTAGCTTCATCACAGTGACCCCGTTAGGTAGCTGTCACCCCCGTTGCAGAGTTGAAGGCGCTGAGGCTTGGTGACCAAGTGGCTCACTCTGGGTTTGGGGCTTGGATGTGGCAGTGCTGCATGAACTGCCGGTTGCCTGGCGTCCGTTCACTGAGCGCCGGTACTCATGGAGCACTGGTGCGGTCGGAAACACCACGAGTGAACGTGGGCCTACCCTCGGTGGGGCTGACCACCTGGTGGGACAGAGTGTCCTCACCTGGTGGGCACCAAAGGTAAGGGCAGCAGGCACAGAAGAAGGGCCAGTTTACTGTGCGAGGAGAGGAGGTCACGGAAGCATGTGAGGCGGTGCCTTAACGTCGTCCCGTGGCAGTGCTGTGTCCTCGGGTACGTGGCATTGGTTGTGACATCCCAACCAGGAAGGACTGTTCAGGGAAATGTTTATGGGTTTAGAAGGGCACAGGGTAGGTGAACGGGGTTAGGCTGGGGCCAGAGGGGTGGTCTTCACGTGCGCCAGGCCACAGTGTTTGAACCTGGCCCCGGTGCAATCAGGATGGCATTGAGGTCCACAGGTCGCCTGACCCATATGCCGGTAGCGGTGGGAGGCGGCAGGTTGAGGCGGAGGAGACGGGAAGCTCGTAGGAGGACCTGGCAGAAGTCCAGGCAGGAACCGGGGCTGTGGCTGCGGGACTTGGGGACCCTGGGCTTCCTGAAGCTGCGCAGCACTCGCTGTGGGGCTGTGCTTCCACGTATGTGCCCATGCACACCTCCCTGCACTTGTCCCATGGCACCCAGAGTGTGCACTGCTGGCATCCCGTCTCTTGGGGCTGGTGGCTCTGTGTAGAAGTGTCTTCTGCTCCTGTTCTGTGCTCCACGAATTCTCCTGGAAACAGCATCTAGCTCTGCGTGCAGCTGGGTTCAGAAGCAGGAGCCCCCGAGTCAGCGCCCGTTTTCTGCTGCAGGACTTCGTGTTCTACGCGCCCCGCCTGCGCATCAACAAGCGGATCCTGCAGCTCTGCATGGGGAACCACGAGCTGTACATGCGCCGCAGGAAGCCCGACACCATCGAGGTGCAGCAGATGAAGGCCCAGGCCCGGGAGGAGAAGCACCAGAAGCAGATGGAGCGGTGAGCAGGCTGCGGGGTCAGCGGCCCCGTCGGGAGAGCCTCGCTGTGGGCTGGGAGCGGGAGCACTCGGGGGAGCAGGGGACAGCGGGTGGCCAAGAAGCAGCTGCTCCTTCCGATGGCTGCGGTGGAGACGGCCTGGCTTCAGGCTGGTGGCAGCTGGGCATGTCGCCGGGATGGCTGCGTGTTGCCGAGTGTCTGCAGCACACGACTCTGCCCAGTCTGAACACCCGGCCCCCCTGCCCCGGAACAGGCAGCAGCTGGAGAACGAGAAGAAGAGGAGAGAAACTGTGGAGAGAGAGAAGGAGCAGATGATGCGGGAGAAGGAGGAGCTGATGCTCAGGCTCCAGGACTATGAGCAGAAAACCAAGAAGGCAGAGAAAGGTGGGCCCATGGTGTCCCATGGGAGACCTCCTCCGGACGGATGGGGCACACACACACCGCCAGGGGCAGTGTCCATCCCCCCAATGTAGTGGCCAGGACACAGAACAGACTTGGAGAGAGACAGGACACTGGGGGGTGGGGGGCTGGAGATGGTTCTGGACTTTGTTGCCATCTGTGCAAAATGCTTTGTGGGCGTTATCTTTTTTAACATTCCTTCAGCCCCAGGTGGTGAGTGCTGAGTTGTCCCGTGTTAAGAGGATGTTAAGCTTTAGCAGGTAGAGTAGGTTGCCCCAGATCCCAAGGCCACTGAGTGAGTGTCTAGCAGGGGGACAGAGCCAGGCATGGTGAGCACGGCTCCCTGTAAACACAGAGGGCAGGGGTGCAACAGGTTCCCTCACCCTGAGACTCAGTCCACTGCCCCTGCCCCCACCCAATGCCCCCTCTCCCCCCAGCCCCGACCACTGGGCCTTGGGATGGGACTGCAGGTCAGTGGCTGGTGTGAGCGGCTCTGGTGCTGTCCCCTCCAGAGCTCCAGGACCAGATTCAGAGGGCCCTGCAGCTGGAGGAGGAGCGGAAGCGTGCGCAGGAGGAGGCTGAGCGCCTGGAGTCCGACCGCCTGGCAGCGCTGCATGCCAAGGAGGAGCTGGAGAGGCAGGCGGCAGATCAGATAAAGAGCCAGGAGCAGCTGGTAAGGAGTCCCCCTGCGTTTCACGGTGCTGAATTATGAAGGTGCTGCCTCTGGGGACTGCAAAAGTGACACCTGCCTGACCATGATTTCCGTCTGGGCTGTAAAGTGATCTGCCTGCCCGTGTCAAGTCGCTGGTGGGGAGGGGCCCTGCTGGTGGCTGGGCCTGGACAGCCCTAGTGGTCAGGGAGGGCGTGGCCTCTGACCCACGGGTGGGCAGGCGGCAGGGAAAGCGAGGGATGCGGCCATATTATGAGGGAGGCCGTTCATTCACAAATGGCCTCTGTTGAAAGCGGTCCAGAAATCATTTTAGCTTCGCCCCTTCGCAGGCAGCGGAGCTCGCAGAGTACACCGCCAAGATTGCCCTCCTGGAGGAGGCGCGCAGGCGCAAGGAGGACGAGGTCGAGCAGTGGCAGCACCGGGTGAGTGACAGCAGAGCTTCGGGTGCACCGCCCACAGGCCTGGTGGGGGCGGGGCCAAGCCTCTGCCTGCACTAGACTGGCAGGTCGCATCGAAAAAGCCTTCAGATTGTGTCGCAGTGCTCTGCTGATACTAGCTGTCCTAGGACAGAAATCCCCACAGGAATGGGCTTGCCCCTGTGCACCAGGGAGCACGTTGTTGGATTAGCAGGGGAACAAAGAACCACAGTTCGCTTCCACCGACTGTGCTCTGGCCACCCCGAACTGTTCAGCCCCACCAGGCACCAGCTTTAAATTGGGTTAAGTGGGTGCGCCCAGCAAGGAGCCACAGTGCCTGAGACGAGCCCTCTCTGTTACCCTCCCGACTGCTGGGACACGCACATTGGCACCAGGGAATCACGCGGACAGGGGTCTCCAGACTTGGGGGAGGGTCTAGGCTCCGCCCCTCATTTGCCGTGTGGCCAGGGCGCACAGCCTCACCAGTCTGCGCCTCGTTTCCTTGTTGAAGCTGAGTATCAGTGCCCCCCACTGGCGAGGCTGCTCTAAGGGCCCTGCAGGGAGGGTTAGTGCCTTGTCGCCTTGGTAGTGAGAACAGGCTGCAGGCCGAGTCCTGGAGCCTTTCTCTGTCTGTTAGGCTTCCGGCCCGTGGGAAAGCACAGGCCTCAGCCAAGCTGGGGGGGCTCCTCCCCCCCCACCTGCCCTTTTCCATGCTTCCTCATCTGTGGCAGCCCCTTCTGGGGATGCCTGGTACATCCCCCTTGCTGGTCCCCACCGCCTCACCCCCACCCCCCAACCCAAATTCTGTGCAGAAGGTTTCATACAGTCCTTAGGTTTTTGGAGAAAGTGCTTATTATAAAGAATCATGTGAGACAAGTTGGTTACAAAACAGGTATAAACTAAGCTCACCTGTGGGGCCAGGGCAGCCATGCAGTGGGAGCGATTCAGTGTATGTACCTGAGAGATTGCTGGAAGCACCGGGGAGGTGGGTAAGGGACTCCCTGCCCACGGTGCCAGCGGGCAGGGAAAGGGCGAAGCCACACACCAAGACCAACAGCGGCTCTTTCCAGTAGTCAGAGTTGTTTTTAATAGTTTTCTTTTTTCAGAAAGATGTACAATGAGCATAATGGAAAAATGTCAAGCCTCTGGCACGAGTTTCTCTGTGCCATGGGCATATTTGGTCACTACCTGGAGGACCAGGAGTCCCAGACCCGGCCGGGGGCCCTCAAGCTCAGCCGTAGTCTGCCTCCGGTGGCAAGAGGAATGGGCTCCTTCGTAAAGAAATGGTGGTTCGCAGGGAGTGGTCCAAACACAAGGTTCTGTGTGAGACGTTCTCACGGCCTGTTACTTGTTTCGAAGGCCAAAGAAGCCCAGGATGACCTGGTGAAGACCAAGGAGGAGCTGCACCTGGTGATGACGGCGCCCCCGCCCCCTCCACCCCCCGTGTACGAGCCCGTGGGCTACCACGTCCAGGAGAGCCTGCAGGAGGAGGGTGCGGAGTACACCGGCTACAGTGCCGAGCTGTCCAGCGAGGGCATCCTGGATGACCGCAACGAGGAGAAGCGGGTCACCGAGGCCGAGAAGAACGAGCGTGTGCAACGGCAGCTGCTGGTGAGGGGCGGGGTGCCGGGGACCCCCACCTTAGTTCTCTGGGACCTCCTCGGCTCCCAGGTGGAGCAGGCAGCTTTTGGACAGGGCGGTGGGACGAGCCTCCCACCAGCACCCACTTCTCCTGGGAGGGACACGGTGGGGGGGTGTGCAGCCTGCCTGACCCGTGCTTCTTGTCATCGCAGACTCTGTCCAGTGAGCTGTCCCAGGCCAGAGACGAGAGCAAGAGGACCCACAACGACATCATCCACAACGAGAACATGCGGCAAGGCCGGGACAAGTACAAGACGCTGCGGCAGATCCGGCAGGGCAACACCAAGCAGCGCATTGACGAGTTCGAGGCCATGTGAAGGCCGGGCTGAGCCTGGGCTCTGCCGAGGGTCACGCAGACTCTGAACTTGTATGCGTAGTTCTCCAAATCTAGACCCCCTCCCCGTACTCTGTCCCTTTAAAGAGAGAGTAGCTGTTTCCATGGGAAAATTCTGGGGCTGGGACCAGCGGAGGCTTCCCTGGTTTATTCTCCCCATGTGTATCACTGTGCCAAACGGGCCTGATTTCTGTTGTTATTATTACTGAATCACTTCCGGTCTTGTGCTTGGCGCAGGGCTGACTGAATTAAGGAGGGAGAGGTGCCTGTGAAGTCTTGAGTAACAAATTCCATGCCGGCATGTGCATTGCGGCACAAGATTCCATATAATTAAAACCACACCGTGGCTTCTATTCTGTGCCATACTTTTTTCTGTATTTGAAATTAGCTCAAATTGATTGATTTGTACGTGATTCTATGAAGGATGCTTCGCTGTATATTTTTGTTTCTGGAGGGGTGCACTCGGAGGCTAACACGCTCTCACACGCGTGCACACAGCGGTTTCCTCCCTCGCGGACAAGACCCTGCGGTCGTTCGGGGCCCGCACCGCAGGAGGGCACGCCACTCTTCCACCCACTTCTCTTGGTTTTCATTTTTTTCACAGTTAGAAGGCAACATTGTTGGACTTACCTAATTGAGGATCAGCTCTAGAGTACAGTATTTATATATAAGCAACAATATGGGTTTGTAACATTAGTTTAAAAGAGGAAAAGTTTTGTTCTGTATATTTTGTTACCTTTTACAGAATAATAAAAGAAGTACATATGAAAAACCACAGCACTTGATCTGATCCGATGTGAGGGAAGCTGGCCGGCGGCCGGACCCCCACCTGTGAAAATGGCCCTTTCACACTCTCCGTGGGCTTCGTGCGGCAAACGTTCCTGCCAGTTCAGTTTTCCACCCACACGTCTTGTTTGAAAAGTGCACACACACTTTTGACTCCAACTCCAGCCGCAAAGGCGCACTCTGACCCGGCGATTGCCGGCCCCCCCAGGAACCTGCCTTGTCCCTGGGGGGCCGTGAGTGTGGCAGCAGCTCCCGCTCTGCCCATTTGTGCCCTTCCTCACCTGCTCTGCCTTGTCGTTTTTGGTTAAGGTGCCGTGTGCAGGTGAAGCCCCACTGCAGACGTGAGCGGCAAGGCTCAGCACAGTGTGCCTGGCTCCCTGCCATCCCGCAGCAGTGCCTCGTGGGGCTGGGTGTCCCTGGGGTGGGAGCTGTAGAACTGACCCACCCTCGAGGGGAGTCTACCCCCAGGTCTCCATGGGGTTGGCTGCCCTGCCTCCAGAAACTTTTGCAGTAGAATGGGAGGGATCAGATATGCGATGGGCTCCTTTTTATTTTCTTGGAAACCACATCACCGGGCTGTAGTTTTCACTGATTGATATTTCACTGGGAAACAGAGGTGATGACCAGCATTTATTGGAAACTGGGACACATCCCTCAGGTAACAGTGATCACTGCTCTGACTTACACTTGCACAGAGGGATCTGGAAGAACCTTCCAGCTGCAGGTGGAGGCGCATCTCCCTCCAGAGGGCCTTTGCCGCCATGTGGCCACCATTTCTCAGGCGAGCCGTGTGCGTGCCACTGGGACCCGCCACTCACCGACACCTGGGCTTCAGTGCAGGACCAGTGTCATGTCTGTCCACAGGTTGGGGCTGGAAAGAACCTTCTGCCACTGACACTTTGACTGTGAGCCTGAGCCAGCACGGCCAGCAGGGTCTTCCTCTGTGATGTGCATGAAACAAGTGTTAGGAACACTGGGTCTGGACACCCCTCCCCGCCCCCAGCAAAGCGTGTCCAGAACGGGACAGCTCAGGCCCCCTCCCCAGGGACTTGGGGTGTCAAAAGCCCAAAGCTGTTGGCTTCCCCGTTAGTGAGGAGTGGGTGGGTGGTGCGGGCTGGCTCCTAACACTTCACCAAGTGCCGGATCCCAGATGGGGGCCAGGTTTACTCAGGAGGAGGAGTCCTTCATGGGGAGGGGGTTTGCTTTGGACTCTTAACACAAACAGTAACTTAATAGTGAGTCCTGTTTCCCCTGGTCCTCAGCCTCAGAGGGGAGTGCGGGTGTTTTGCTCATCATAGTGTTTGGGGGCCACAGCCGGCAGTCAGGAGGGCCGGGCCCTCAGTCGGACAGGGTTGTCCCCCAAAAAAGGCCTGCTAAGCAGCACGGGAGCACCGCCCTCTGTCCCACTCTCGGCAAAACTTTCCGAATCGCCAGTTGTGTGCATTAAGAAGATATTTTCCTTCAGGGGAATAATCCTTTTATGATTCATGCCAAGAACAAAAGCAAACACTGTACCTAGCCCAATGTGAGGCCTCTTAAGTTTTGTTTCTTTAGCAGATCTTAAATCTGATTTAAATTGTTGAAATACTTTGCTGTATTACTGCCCCACAGCACAGTGAGAACTGGACAGTGTTCTCCACTTGGGGCAGGTGAGGCAGCTTCAAGGCCAGTTAAACCACCTGCCGAGGTGGGGCATGATTTCTCACTGGCATTTGTAAGACAGTCTCTGGGGACCCTGGACGCACTTGAGCCCAGTAAACATCTCGAACGTACTTACTGGAACCAAGGCTGGCCTCTCCCAGCAGGCGGTCGCTCAGGCCGAAGGCGGCCTGGTCCCAGACCGCCAGCTCCAGGCTGGCCTGCCTCAGCTGGGCAGGGCTCACCCCGTCGAAAACAAAGGAGTGCTTCCACTGGGGACACGCTTGCTTCTTCAGGACGGGCGACCTCAGCCTCAGCTTTCGCTTGTCCGGCAGAGTGAGACAGCTGCAGAGGGGACAGACGCAAACCCTGGTGCCTGGCCTGCACACAGTCCCCGCCCTCTTAGGACTTGCTCATCTCTGAGGCTGTTAGTGCTAAGGGGGCTACAAGCGCCACAAAATAAAAACTCCGCCCACTGAAAGAGCAGGAGACGCGGGATTGGCTGAGTGATCTGGGCTGGGAGGTTCTCGATTTGGAGCTGCTGCAGGTACGAGGGTGGTTGGGAATCCCAGGCTCCATGGTGCTCACCTGGCTCCACTCCTTGACTGCCTGCCACCAGGCGGCAGCCCACTTACTAGACCTGCCACTGGGGACCAGAACGCTGCACCCGTGTCATCTACCTCATTTTATCCTCAGGAGAATAAATTCAGAAGAGCCGAGTAGCCATACAGATAAATACCGAGGGCCAACTCGGCTCCATCCCAACTGGAAGGCAGGCCACCATTTTCTCAGGGCGGCACTGACTGGGATTTAGTGATCCTGCCTCACAGTGGTGTTCGCTTTACTTCTGAGAACCACACACCTGTAGTGAGTAAAGTGAGAGTGAAGTCCGCTGAGACACCCACCTTACTGTTACTCCAGGGGAGATGGAAAGCTGAGGAAATACCAGGAGGGGCCCAAAAAATATCTCCTGGAGGGCGGGCCCTTGGAGTACAGGCTTTCCCCACCAGGTGAGAGTCCTAGGAGCCCATCTCCGTCAGTGCACCAGCTGGCGTTGTGAGAGGCTGCGTTCGGCCTCAGCACTTTTTTTTGAAGACTTTCATCGCGTTTGCCCATTTCACGTTGGGTGATTGGCGAGCGCACCTGCCCACAACGTGCTGAGGGCTCAGCAGTATTTGACCAAAAATGGCCTGACCCCCTGGTCCCCACCCTCCCCATTCACCTGATCTCACCCTGAGCAACCTTTCTTCATTTCCCTGGATGAAAAAAAGCCCTCAAAGGAAAATATTTTGCCGATGTGGAAGGAGTGAAGCAAAAACCCGCAGGAGCACTAAAAGGCATCAAAGCCGATGAGTTCGGAAACTGCCTTGAGCAACAGAAAAAAACATCTCAACAGGTGTATTGCATCCAATAGAGAGTACTCTGAAGGTGACTGACATTTCACCGTATAAGAATAAGTACACAAATTTTCACAAATAAATCCTGGTTTTGGGTCCCCCCCACCCCGCCGTATAAACACAACTTTTTCCATGGTCCAGCTGTCAGTGAGTGCTGACCCACTGCTACAGCGGGACTAGGAAGACCTGGGTTCCAGGTGAAAGCATGGTGCTCTGACCCTGGCCTCCACGAATTCCTGGAGGTCAGAGCCCTTAACAAGACATGTTGGGTTTTTGCAGGAAAGCTAAAATGCAACAAGTTCCCAATGGCTACACTTCTTGGTGTTTTCTGCAGCCCCGAGGACCATGCCCCACTTGTACCACAACTGACCAGTAAATGATACTTGATTAAATGAACACCTACCCCTTAACAAAGGAGTTTAGGGTACCATCTGACCGCACAGGCAGATCCTTGGCTCCCAGCACCACCAAGCAGAGCTGACCGTCACATGATGGCTCCTCGCCTGTCCCTGGAAGCAAAGCAGGCATTTGAGTCCACCCTCCGGCACGCTGCGCCACCCCCGCACCCCCAGCTGGGAGCTCAGCAAGAAGATGTGTGATGGGAGAGCTCAGACCCCGCGAGAGCAGCCGGGAAGTGGAGCAGGGCCGTCCAGGGGCTCTGCCAGACCTGCCCCCACACTGGTCCCCCAAACGGTCAGCGTGGAGTGCCGGGGCAGCAAGCTGCAGGAGGCAGGACCAGCCCACGGACAGGAAGCTCCTGTCTACTGGGAGCCAGTGGTGGGGGGAAGGGGGCTCGCCGCTGGTCTGCTGGTGCAGCGAGCTCTTCCAGTCCAACAGGAAATCACTAAAACACGGGAATCTCACGTTCTCCAGGCCTTCACTCCCCACCTCACCTTCCCGCACGCCCCACGTCATTGACGTTAGTTAACAAGGACGTGTCACTGGCTGCTTCTCTTGCTGGCCGGCTGCGGCTCACGTGAGTGGGAGCCTGGACCTGTTCACGTGGGGCCCCAAGGCCTCCATGTCTCCCAAAGGGCTGAGAGGGGCTGCAGCGGGGTAGTGTTCACCGGGGCGGCCGTCCGAGTCAGCCCCTTGAGAGGAGGCATCGGGCTGGGGTCCTGGGAGCCTTGGAGAGTGGGCAGCACTGCTTGGCCTGTTCCGGGTCATTCAATTCCTTCCGGGTCATGAGTTCCGGAGAGCCCGTTTCCCAGGCCCAGCTCCACGGCTCTTGATGGGACCAGTGGGTGGCAGACAAGAAGTGCTAGGACCCATCCCTCAGCCTGCCTGCACTGCAGGCTTTGGGGACAGGGACCCAGGGACAGAGGAACATCTGTGGGGCTGGAGACACCTGCCTTCTTGAGCATCCAGGAGCTTGCTGGGCCTCGCAGGCAGCACGAGCTTGGCCCGGACCGAGAGTTCGCCATGGTTCAGAGAACTGCTGTCTTCATGCTTCTCTGCCTGTGGGCCAGAGGCAGAGCTCAGAGGCCAGCATCCCAGCCCGTGCTCAGCCCCCAGGACCTTCTGGGACCCTCTGGCTGCCCTGGCTCTGTCCATAAATGCCCCCTCCCCCACTTACCTCATCCCTGCAAGGCCTCACAGGCCTTGGAGAGCCCTGGGTGGCGTGGACATGCCCAAGGCAGGCTGCTCGTCCTTCCATTTGTGGGGGCCTCGCTCCTACCATTGTCACCCTCGGTGTGGGAGAGGCAGCCCAGCCGCCCAGCCGCCCACCCCTGCAGACACAGATGGCCCATCAAGCAAAGGGGCTCCAAGGCCCTGGTACATTCCCGTAGGGTTGTACTAAGAAACCTGGACATAACCTGAGTTTGAAAGAGTAAATAAAACCAAGACCCCCAGGGATTCCACTCAGGTCAGTAAGGGTTCAAGCTCCCCTCCCGTGCCAGGGCCACCGAGGGCACCGGACACCAACAGGGTTCCAGACTATGTGCCCGGGGCACAGGGATGGCCCTCCAGTCTGGGGGACTCAGCCCCCCGTTCCCAAATGCCCCCAGAGGACACCTCCCTGCCTACTCAGGTCGTTTGTCTCATCACGAGTGGTTGTGCCAAAAGTGAGGGAGAGCAGGGCTTGGAGAGGGAAGACCGCCCTCCACGGGTGCTCTCTCTCGCCTGGGGCTGGGCTGCCCCTGCCCCACACAACTCTCTGTGGTCTCCTGGCTGCCCCGAAGCAGGAGGCAGAGGAGGGGGCAGGAGGGAACCCTTGGTGCCAAATGTGATAAGACTGCCCCCCCCACTTCTGGAAACCCATGCCAACCCCACGACCGCCACACTGCCCCTCCTGTCAGGACCCAGGGGGCCGGCCCCTGAGCAGACACCCCAGATCAGGCGCCAGGGTCGCATCAGGACACCTGCAGCCTGCCACTTTCTGCTTCTAGCCCGTTTGCCAACAGGGGACCAGTCCCTGGGCGGCCAGCCCCTCTTGTCCTGAGTGTGGGATCCGGGGGGCAGAAGTGGGGCAGGCCGCCTCAGCACAGGACCCTGTGGGGAGACCTGGCAGGGAGCGTCGGAACCCTTCGTGGCAGAGTGGGACTTAAGCGGAGTCTTGGGCAGACCTGGGGCCAGAGAAAGCATCGCAAGTGGCTATTCTGGGTGTGGACCGAGGCTCTGCGAAGAGAAAGGGCCCACACCGGGGGCTGCACAGACCCCACACAGGGCGAAGAGTATGGGGGGGAGGACGCCCCCCCCCCCGCCGAGCACCCGTGAAGGGACATAGTGACTGATGCGGTGACACAGCAGGGCTGACACCTCCGAGGACATTTCCCAGGAGGCAATGGAGCCCACCCTTCCTCCCCCTTCACCACCTCAGATGGACTCTGCCAGTCTCGGGTCTTGGCACAGAAATGTGCATCGCAGCCGCCAAGAGTCCTCGACCTTTCCTGCGCCTCTCTCCCTCCCGGCACTGCCAGCACCTCTCGGCCTGTCCGACCCCACCCCGAGCTGGACCAGAAGCCCCCCGTGGTCAGCGCCGCCTCTGCCCTCCTGACGGCGTCTGGTCCAATCGTGTGCACCTGTTGTTCTGGCTGTGGCCGGGGCGCGGAGCTTAGAAACCACGTGTTCTAGGCCACAGGAGGGGCTGCAGGCCCACGCAGGGGCAGGCTGACGAGCCGCAGGTCATGGACATCAGCTGCAGCACCATGAGAAGGCCGAGGCCACCTCAGCTGACACTGAGTGACCCTGAATTCGGGGGAAGGGCACAGACCAGCAAGGCCATCTCAGGAGCACTGAACACCTGGCCTGAGCTGGGCTGCCACGTAGGCCACACTGAGGACAGGGCTGCGCAGACGTTCGAACAAACCTGAGCAGGTGGGAGTGGCTGGGCCGAGCCTCACCTGGAGAGCTCGGCGGGGCCTTTTCTCCCTAGAAAGCTCCTGCCTAGAAGCCTGGCAAGTGCCACCATCGTTTGGGGTCCCAGGTTTCCCAGGCAGGTATTGTCATTTCGGGTCCCTTTGTAAAGTGGGCGTGGGTCACCCGGTCCCAAACCAGACATCACCTTGGCCCGCAGTGGATGCCAGCGGAAGGCCTGTGTCGTGCTGTCTTCAAAGTCCCACGTGGCCAGAGGGATGATCACTTCTCCAAGAAAGACTCTCCGAGCGAGCGTGCCCAGGTGCCACACAGACACCTGCAGGCACCGGGTTGCCAGCTGGGCGGGCTCCACCTGGTACTGCAGAGGGGGGACAGGGGCGTCAGCCGGGGCTCCCCGGCCACCTCCCAGGACGAAGATGTCCTGGCAAGCACTCTGCTCAGAAAACTACAGGTTCCAGAGCCTCAGCTGTCACTTGACAGCCCCTCCACCCGGAGTGTCATGCTGGTGTCCCGCCCCAGACTGTCCAGACCACCTCCATATCCTCCCCTCGCCTTGCCCCCCGCTGTCTGGCCTGGCGCGCTAAACAAGTAGCGGTTGGAAACACTGATTTCTGCAGAACTCTGAAAGACTGGTCAGCTTCTCCACCTTCCTGTGTGTTCTGTCTCATAAGCGTTTATGTCAAGAGTATGTCCGAATGTTCTGAATTTAGAACAGACTGCGGACACTGATTCTTTTCAGTGTCTCTGGGAAGTTTTCCAGGACAAACATAGTATTCACAATATACTGGATAAGAGCAATGTGTAAAATTTTTAGGTGACTTCTCCAAGATTCTGCATCCATTTTAAATAAGTTAAACCTTAAAAATCCATTTGTATAACTAAAAATTTTGTATAACCAAAAATCAATCAATTTTTATAACTAAATATTCATCTAAAATGTAGTCCATCCTCAACTTTATCTTTCATAAAACATAAAATATATATCTACCTTAATTAAACTTATAGGCAATTTTAGATATCAACTTAAAATGTGTGAAGGGGACGCCAAGCTTTTCAAAATTCTTTTTTAAAGATTTTATTTATTTACTTTTAGAGAGAGGGGAGGAGAGGGAGAAAAAAAGGAAGAGAAACATCAATTGGTTGCCTCTTGCCTGCCCCCTACTGGGGGGCCTGGCCCAAAACCCAGGCACACACTCTGACTGGGAATCAAACCAGTGACCCTGTGGTTTGCAGGCTGGCTCTCAATCCACTGAGCCCCACCAGCCAGGGCTCGAAATTCTTTTAGCAGGTCTGCGAGCAAACCCGCTTGCTCCCAGAGGGGTTGCAGCCCAGCTGCATCTCGAGCCCTGGCCACACCTGCTGAATCACAGTCCACTTTTCCTTTTAAATCCCGTGAGGATTGCTGCACGCACGCGTGCGCGCGCGCACACACACACACACACACACACACACACACACACACACACACTTTGAGGACTGCTAGCCCACTGTGGGTTCGATAAGCCTCAGGTTCCCCTGAGTAACGAGGGTCAGGGAGGGTCCTGATCCCTGGCTCAGGGGGTATGTAAAGCACATGGCCACAACAGGGGCAGAGAAAACAGTGGCTGGTGTTATTTAACAAATGGGGCTCTTGTACCAGCTGCCCAGATGAATGCCCCTTCTCAACAAGGGAGCCAAACAAAGCCCTGTCTTTTCCAGTCTTGACACAGGGGGTCCCCGGGCTTCTCCACCCTGACTGAATGTGTCTCCATGAGTCTGGACTGTCCCTCCAGGCTGGGGCCTCCCACACTTCACCTGCAACTTGGCACATGGACTTCACTGCCCTTCCTCCAACCCGGGGCAAGGTGGCCTCTCTGCATCTCTGCCCTCAACCTCAGATCATAGTTGTTGGCACCAAGGAAGGTGAAAACCCAGAAAAGTCCTCTAGAAAACTTTTTTAATAAAATGACTGTTTGTTTTTTTTTTCTTGAAAACAAGAAAGAACCTGGGTTTCCCGATCCGACACTAAAGAAGCACTTTTACAAAGACAGTAGTAACCTGTAGTTTAATGCACAGTGCATCTCTCAGAGGGCTACAGAAACTCGACAGGACAGATTTTAAACATTGAGAGGCGCCAGGTTCTTTTCATTGTCGTTGTTATCACTTACTTGGAAATCATTAACCGGAAGTCCTGCAGACTCGGCACTTTTCCTGTGCAAAGGCTGACATTTATTTTTTTACCACCTCGCCACTGATTGACAGGGCCCTGCAGAACATACAAGTGCCTGAGCTGATGTCTAACATGCACAGTGTTTGGAAGAAGCTGCCGCTGGACTCTGGCCCCGTGCACCCAGCCCACGGCAGGAAGACAGCACGTGGCTATTCCTCCCACAAGTACCTTCAAGGTCTCCTGGAAGGTCGGATTCACCGTGTTCTTCTGGACACCAGTCTTGCGCTTGCCCTGGGAGGATCTGTCAGGCAGCAGATAGGTCTTCACGTACCTAGAGGCCAAATGCAGACAGGGCGGAGGAAGCTCAGGGGGTGCCCAGAGGGAGGAAGAGAACCCTACGTTTATGCGGGGCACTGTGGCATTTGGCGTTGACAGAAAGGGCTCGGTGGCCCCCACAGACAGTGAACAATGACATGCTGGGTACCCAGCTTCTGTTTACATTGCCTTTGGCCATCACCTTCTGGAATGTTCCTGGGGGAGGTGGAGCTGCCAGCTTTCCTCACTCCCCACCCCTGAAACCTGCAAGGCCCATCACCTGCCACTGGGGAGCAACCATGGAAGCAGGGGCTCTCGGGGCTCCACAGTGGCAGATTCTCGGATCTACCTGGACATAGAGACCATGTGCCAGTTTGTCCTTCCTCCCCGTCACTGCCAACCAACCCCTCCCCCCAAAATAAGTGCAAATGGAAAGTGTATGCCTTACCCTCAAATCTTCCCTCGGGGGCCTCCCTGCCTGTCCTGACTGCTGAGGCCCGGCGTCCCTGAGCCCTCTCCGCTGACCCCGGGGGCGCGGCTCTGCTGCCAGGGGCAGCGTGACAGAGGCCATCTCTCCACCAGCACACTGCCCAGCCCCCCAAATCCTGTTCTGGGTTGATCCCTCCACTCGGGTCCCACGACTGCCCTCCCTGGCCCCTCTAGTGGCTTTAGTGGTGACAATGCCCCCACTCGTCCAGGCCCTGTCCCCACAGGCTAGGAGCAGGCTCAACTTTCCCAAAGCAAAAAAAAAAAAAAACAAAAACGGTCACCATTCCTTCAGCTGGGACCCTCCCGGGAGCTCCAGAAGAGCTCAGGCCTCTTCTTCCCCGTCAATCAAAATTCCTGGGAAAGTACTCAAGGCTCATTGCCACCGATTCCTCACCATTCATTACTCTTAACTGATCGGTCATGATCAGATCTCACATGTGTAAAGCAGGGTGTATAAAATATACCTACGTCGAGTGAAGGATTAAAAGGAAACACACCCCAGGCATCTGACTGGTTTCCCACGTCAAGGCGCCTGCTTCCTCCTGTACCTGCCGACGGGGCACTCTGCCTGCCACAGAGCAGAGAACCGGGGCCTCTGAGCACCACTGCGGAGCCGCTTCTCCCTGAAACTCTGTCCGTGTTTTGCGTCACCTGTCCTGATGGGCTGTTATTGGGTATACAGACATGTATAATTTTATGTCTCCTTGCTGTATGAAACCATTCATTAATATGTAATGCCCTTTGTCTTTTGTAACCTAGTTGATCTCATTTTGACACTAATATAGCCACTGTGGCTCTTTTGCTTGCTGTCCCCGTGAAATAGCTTCTGTTGTGTCACCGCATGCACGGTGAGCCTCTTGCAGGTGACACGTAGTTGGATCCACAGTTCTTATCCATTCTGCCAGTTTTTGTCTTTCGATCAGAGAGCCTAATGCGTTTACATGTGAAGTCATCACTGATGAGGTGGCACTCACTTCTGCCATCTGTTGCTTGTCTCTGTAGTCCTTCCCGCATTTGTGCCCTCATTTCCAGCACTGTTCTACTCTTGTGTCTTTAGTCGATTATTCGACTGTGAAATTTTTTAATTCTTTCCTTTTGTATATGTCCTATAACTACGTTCTTTGTGGTTACCAAGGGGATTGCATTTACTGTCCTAAAGTTAGACACTCTACTTTGAATTTACAGCATTTTCGCTTCAATAATGTAGAGGCTCAGCTCCTTTTCAGTTCCGTCCACAGCTCTCTCCACTGTTGATGCCACACAACGACACGTTACGTGCTGCGTGACCAAAATCACAAATGACTTCTTTGAAATGCATTCCTCTCTTAAATTACGCCAAAAACCAAATGTGATGTTACAAAGCAAAGTTATAATAATAAGAGACTGATGTTTTTTACCCTATTAGTCACTTTAATCATGGGAATTACACATGGTACTATTGCCACAGAAATGCTAGCTTTTATGGTTGCCTGTGTTTGTACCTTTATTGAGACCTTTATTTCGGACCAGTGTCCTTTCATTTTCCCCTGAAGGACCCCCAAGTACCCCTCACAGGGCATGTCTAACAGGGACACAGCCCACCAGCCTTTGTCTGAGAATGTCTTCATCTCCCCCTCACTTCTGCAGAACGGTTTTGCTGGATATGGTGTTCTTGGCCGTTGGGTTTTTTCTTTCATCACTTCGAATATATTGACCTTCTGGTCTGTAAAGTTTCTGATCAGAAATCTGCAGATGATCTTCTTGAGGACTCACTTCCCTCCTGCTGCTTTCAAGATTCTCTCTGTGTTTGTTTTCCAGAAGTTTATCAATAACGTCTCGGTGTGTGTCTCTTTGAGTTCATCTTACTTGGAGTTCAGTGGGCTTCTCTGAGGTTTATAGTCATGCATTTCATCAAATTTTGGAAGTTTTCTACTGTTTCTTCAAACATGCTGCCTCTTGCTCTCTCTTCTCCTTCTGAGACACTCGCATGCCTCTGCTGGTCCACTCGACGGAGCCCCTCAGGTCCGTGAGATTCTGTTTGCTTTCCTTCAATTTTTTTTCTCTCTGTTTCAGACTCAATAACTTCCACTGACCTTTCTCGAATTCACTGATCCTTTCTTCCCATCTGCTCATCTCTGCCTTCCAACCCCACCAGTAAATTTTTCATCTCAGTTATTTGTGTTTTCAGCTCCAGCATTTCTTTTTGGTTTCTTTTTAGGTTTTCTGTCTCTTTATCGATATTTCTGCTTTGCTCATACATCATTTTCTTGATGTTCTCCAAATCTTCCTTTAGTTCTTCAAACATCTTTAAGATGGTGTTTTAAAGTCTTTGTCCAGGAGACCTGCCATCAAATCTTCTTTAGGGACCATCTCTTTTGATTTATTATTTCCCTTGGAATGGGCCATACTTTTCTGTTTCTTTGTATGTCTTGTTATTTTGGTTGAACGCTGGACATTTGTGTCTAATAATGTATTAACTCTGGAAATCAGAGTCTCCCCCTTCCTCAAGGTTTGCTGATTTTTGTTATTGTTTTGTTTATTGATCCTTGACAAGGATCAGCCTGAGACATAAACTAACAGTCTTCTCAGGTTTTTTCTGAGTCGGCAGCTTTTCCTAGGCATGCATATTTATTTTCTAATTTTCCTTTTATATGAGGTCTGTCCAGGAGGTATCCAGCCATGTAATATGAAAAGTAAAGACATTTATTGAAGAAGATATAAGATGCACAAGAAACATTGCACAGGACAATGACACCTCAGTCCCCTCCAAAGCAGGCACCTTAGGACCTCACACAGTTTTCCCAACCTCCATCAGCTGTCCCATCGTATTTTCCCAAATCTCATCAAAGGTCTGAAATCTTTTTCCTTTTAAAGGTGATTTTAGTGTTGGGAAAAGCCAGATGTCACAGGGCACCAAATCTGGGCAGTAGTGGGGCTGAGCCACCTGGGTAATTTGATGTTTCACAAAAAACTGCATGAGACACAATGCATGAGCAGGTGCGTTGTGGTGATGAAGCTGCCAATCACCATCTACCCACAGGTGCAGCCTCTGAATCATCCAAATAGTTTCCACAGGGGAATATTCAAGCTTAACACACAAACTGATGCAGATTCGTTGCATTACTTGCTCAGTCATTTTGAATGTGACGGCCACACCGTACACACCCTCACTCAGTTGCATCTACTGCCCCCACTGACTAGTACAGTAAAGTCATCATTATTCACGCATGCTCATTCCAGTCCACTCTCCTTGGCTGCCAGGTTACACTGATGTGCAAACTTTTCTTGTTATATTAACACTGGTTGGACTTTTTCAGGACAGATCTTGTATGAAATTAATTCTGAATCCCTTAGTCTGTAGTATCTGGCTTCCAAGAAGAGAAAAATGAAAAAGGGAGACAAATCAGGGCACTGGCCCTTAGAAACCCCAGAAGTTACATGGGCCGGAGGAGGGCCAGGACTGCCACAAAGGACGGAGAAGAGACAATGGCTGTGTGCCTCTCCGTCTCTACCCACTGTGGTCAGAAGCAGCAACCAGCGATGGGCAAACAGAGCCCTGCCAGCTGGAGCACAGGATCCTCTCCGCCCAGCCCAGCTCCCGCAAGCTGCGTGCAAGCCACGCCGGGACACGTGCACAGCTGCCTCCAAGGGGATGGGGGTGTAGGGTCGGCACCTGCTACTGTGCCAAGAGCTGAAATTGGCCAATATTAACTCCAATTTACCATGGGAGCCCTCTGCTGCAACCTGCAAGCCTTCACAAGACCCAGAATCTTTACATCGGGCGATTCTGCCAGCGCAGTTACTGGTCTCTGTGGGCAGAGGGATTCCTGATGCCTCCCACCTGTTCTGCCATCTTTCAGAGGCAGCCAGTCCACAGAAGGGAAACCCTCAGTGGCTGATACGTGGACAAAAAGTTGTTTACCTTGGTTACTAATCAAGGAAGTGCATGCTAAAATAATGATGTAATACCATTCGTATCTATTGGCTGGAAAAATGTAATCTGCTTATGGATTGTGTGAGGCAGGATTTTAATTTTATTTTTCCTATATGGAAAATCAAATTTTCCAGCACCATGTGCTTAAGTTCATCTTTCCTGCAATGGTTTCTAGTAGCCTCTTGATTATGTAAGTTCCCACAGATGCTAAGGTATCTGGACTTTTGATTCTGCTCTGCCCACCTGCTTGTCCAGCTTTGCATCAGAAACACACTGTTGGAATTACTGCCACCATATAATAATTCTTCACCTAAGTCTGTTTATTTTATGCCTCTTTTCATTTTTACAATTGTCTTGATTATTCTTGGACTTCCCGTGTAAAACTTTAGAGTCAACGTGTCTACCACCTTAAGTCAAAGCTTAGAAAAGGCAACTTACGGATTGCACCTTTTCTTCCTCTCCTCTCCGTATGCAAGGTTCTTACAGGCCTCGATGCAGATTTCCAAAGACCGGGACCTGGAGTCGTACCGAAGGGCCAGCTCTATTTCTCCGGTGACGTTAGCATCATCAAAATTGCCGATCTCTGTGCAAGTGCTGTTAATGCTAATTACACTTCCCTGGAATGAAAACGGCAGATACAATAAACTACTCCACCGTTAATCAATTCTCTTGCAGTCCTGATTGCAAGACAGCAGATAAACCAGAACGCACGCAGAGCGTGCGTCCTGACTCACATTAAGTTAACGCTGTGCTGGCTCGTTCGTTGCCAAAGAAGTTACCACACACTCTGTTCTAACAAGATGGGGAGCCCTTGGAAGGTCTTGTCTTGCCCAGACATGGTCTCTGCTTAGCAATAAAGGCATACCGTTTTATTCTTTTTATTTTAAAAAATCTCAGTCATCTCATGAGGATATGTTTTATCGGTTTTAGAGAGAGAAGGAGAGAGAGAGAGAAACATCGACCCGTTGCCTCCCTCACCTGTCCCGACTGGGATCAAACCTGCAACATTCTGGCATGCAGTAAATAGTACTTACTTTAATTTGGCTCTGATTTAACTCGTGGGACATTGAGTTGTTCCCCCTATTTATTGCCTGTCTGTGTTTCTACTTTGGTCCTACTTAGAGATTTTGCAAGCTTGTTTTCACCCCCAATTTCCCGTTCCTTAGAGAAGGGAAATGCCCCTCAGGGGAGGGACAGGCCTTTGGGCAGAAGCAGTCCTGGGTCGTTTGCTTTGTGTGAGTTTCTCTGCCTCACACCAGCACTGCCCGGGTCTAAGGGGAACAGGTTAGGATTAAAGGCACAGTGACTCAGTCTCCTGGTGAGGAACGTTGGGGGTGAGAATAGAGACTAGAGACAGGCTCTGAGATGGATCCACACCCCCGCACCCCCTCACCCCAGCCTCTCCCCGCCTGACTGGTAAGGCTCTCCAGGTGGGCACGGGCCCCAGGTGAGTGAAGCCGGACCAGGAGGTGGGGGCAGGAAAACCACTCAGTTGAAGAAGTCAGTCAGCCCTGGGGATCTACAAAAAGCCTGGTCTTTGACTCCCACTGTGACCCTATTTCCCCTCCCGGGACATGATAGTGGCACATGGCAGACTTTCAATAAGTCATAGCTATGACCAGGACTGATCCAACCTTTCCACAAATGTTTAACGAGTCCCGGGTAAGGAGCAGGCACCGCTCGGGGCGCTTGGGAATCACAACAGATAAGCCGATTGCATAGCCAAGGTGATAAGAAGATGATTAAACAGGAGCAGGTGAGGACAGCGGGAGGGCAGAGGGCTGACCTCCGGGGAAGGTGACCCTGGAGCAGAGACTTGAAGGAAAGAAGGGAGTGAACGAGCTTGGGGCCTGGGGGAGGGGACAGCCACAGAACCGCCCCAGAGCAGGCAGGAGCCTGACAGGGCTGAGGGCCGGCAAGAGGCCAGTGCGGCCGAGGGGGTCGACAGAGGGGAAGTGGGGACAGCTGGGCGGGGCTTGCCCCGTCACCCCGGGGGTCGTCTGTGGGGCGGTCTCTGCCTGTGTGCTGGTTTCCCAGCACACAGACGCAGACTCTGGCCCTCGGGGAGCTGAGACTCCAGTCTAGCAGGCCCCCGGGCAGTTCGGGGACAGCTGCCCCTCGGGTGCCCTCTGAAGGGTTCACCTCTGTAGTCAGTCTTATAAAGGCTCCAACGGGCTGGGACCCGTGGGGTCCTTCGTCACCTGGGCAGAGGCAAACGACCCGGGATCTTACAAGAGCCTCCCCGAGGCGGCCCCTATGGTCTCCCCATCTCACACCCACCGTAGGCTTCAAGCCTAGAAGAGAATGTTCTAGAGCGACCCTTGCCTCCCCAGCCCTCAGTACCTTGATCTTTCTGATTTACTCTCAAGTATAAACAATGCCTCGTCCTGAAGAAAGATACCAAGCCCCCTTCCAGCACACGCTCCCTGAGATACCCCTGCAGGGCCATCTCAGACCCACAGCCTTGGAGCACCCAAGAGGCGGGGCACCAGGCCCCACCCCTGCGTGTCCCAGGCCAGGTGGCCGTGCCCAGCCCGAGTTGGGAGGGACATGTGTGAACCACACTGCGTTGGAGAGAGTCCTGGTCCGTGACCGTGTGGACGTGCAGCCACGGTGCGGGGCGGAGCGGAAACAGGGCCCTGCGTCCCAGGAAGCTCACGCCACTTGGGAAGAGGGCCCCCAACCCAGGGGTGACCCCAGACCAGGGCTTCTGGCAGAAATGCCATGGGAGCCGAGATGCAGGGAAAATGCCCTAGGGCTCACATTTTTAAAAAAGGAAAATAATTTTAATACTACATTGTATTCATGGAATACATCCAAAATACTATCGTTTCAACAGAAGTCAATGTAAACATTAGTGAGACGTTTTACATTTTTTATATCTCAGTTTGGATCAGCCATATTTCAAGCGCCCCACGGCCCCGGGGAATAGCAGCTACCGGACAGCGCAGAGCCCGGGGCTGTTAAAGAGGTGGCCTGAGTGACCTCACCCACTGCCTGGTGTGGAACTGCCAGGGCCCCACCACGGTTTCTCAGACCTCACCGCTTTCTTGTTAAATTGCAGACCCTGACCTGGTAGGTGAGGGTGGGGCAGAGGGTCTGGGTTCTGACCAGCTCCCGGTGACTCGGAGCTGCAGAGCCCACATTCGGAGCCGTGGGGGTGTCACAGTGGAGCCGTGATGGGGCAGGACCACGCGTGAAGGCGGGGACGGGAGCTGCTAGCGGGCAGTGGATGGAGTCAAGGACGCTGGCTACCCTTCACTGCACGAGGTGCCACTGGACATGCATGGGGACAGGAGGAAGTGTCACCTTCTGAAACGAACACCATTTCCCATAAGAAACACAACCCCCGAGGCACAGAGAGGTTCAAGGTCTCACTCTGGGTCCGAGATCCTTGACACAGAAGGAGCGCAAATGCGAGCCAAGAAGTTGGTTTCTAGAAGCTAAGTTAGGAGAAGCTCAGTGTCACGCCACGACATTTTTGCATTCATTTCATGCGCAAAGCCATCCCGTGAAGTAGAAAGAACAGCTCTGATGCTCATGTCCTTGAGGACGACTCTGAGGGCGAGAGTTTCCGTGGTCAGGGAAGATCACTTACAGAGCGGTGGCCGTCGCCAAGGCCATGTGACCCTACCCCGAGGGTCTGCCAGTCAGGCCATTATACCACAACTTCAAGCATGACATAAGCATCGGTTTCATGCTTTTGAGTAAGAAAACGAGCCCATAAACGGCCTGCCTGTGAACAGATACCACACTGAACACATCACAAAGCGACCTGGAGAGAGAAGACCGAAGCTGAGATTAAACTGCGTGATTTCAAAACTCCCAGCAAATTGACTGCAATCTGGACAGGGCGGCCTCGACATTCAAGGACAGAGAAAGGGGTCGCAGAGCAGGATAGAGAACCCGGAGGAAGTTCCACATTTTTTTCAATAAAATCCCCACAGTCCGTGGAGAAATAAGAGGGGGGGTTGTTTGTTTGTTTTTTTAATGGTGCTGGAACAACTGGGAATCCGTAGGGAAAAATTGAACCTCCATCTCTACCTTCCACCATTCACAAAAACGAAGGAGTTGGATCAAGACCTACAGGTAAAAGCTAGACTCTTATAAACGCTTCTAGAAGAAAACATAGAAAAATATCTTCACGACTTGTGAGTAGCTAGGACAGAGAAATAACCATGACAGAAAAAGTTGATCAACTGAACTTCATCAAAATGAAAAACTTCTCATCCAAAGACACCATTATCTGTTATTACTCCCTGTATATACATAAAAACGTTCACATTAAGATGTTTGAAAAAAGGAAAACCACCACCCAAGGACAGAGAGGTTTGTCCATCTCCCTATCGAAGTAAAATAATCTTTTCAGGCTCTCTGGTCTTGCCCCCTTTACCCCACACGGGACAGCACTCACTCCCACCCTTGCCCACCAATCAGACTCAACATCACAACGACAGACACACCTCCTGTATTAATTAAGGGCATCAGACGGAGACTCACCTGTCTCGAACCTCCTGAAAATAAAGGGCCGGGCGTTGTTGGATGGAATAAGAGATTTCCTTGCCCCAACACAGGGTAAGCAGGGCATTTGGGACTCCCTCGGTTGAGAGATTGGAGGATGTCTGGCGCACTGACCTTCTGGAAAAGAAAACACAAAATTAATAACGCAGTCTGCGCTCCAGTCTGACCTTGTTCAAACGTGGTGACATCAGCAAGGGCAGACTGTTGCTGGCATCTACGGCTGGACGCCCACTCCCGGGTGCTGAGCAAGGGGCGCCCTTCCAGTGGGCAAACACCCCCCCCCCGTGGGCCTCGGGCAGACCTGGTCAATCTTCAGGATGTTCACAGACAGAAAGGGGTGGGTTGCCTATGAATTAGCAAAAGTGTTTAAGAAACTGAAGTCCATGTTTTGGGCTTAATAATGACCCTGGCATTTAATCCCATGAAATATCATAATCACCAAATAGGGAGAGTTTTAGCCCAGAGAAAAACAGGGGGGAAATCAAAATATATCTCTAAATCTTATAAAATGCTTCTTATAAAAAATGAGCCCTTCTGTAAAGTTCACAGCCGTGCTCTCCAATGTGGTAGCCACCAGCCACACGTGGCCATTTAAATTCAAGTTCCAACTAGCTGACATCGAATAAAATGAATAAATCAGCTCCTTGGTTGTACTGGACACGTTTTGAGGGCTCCATAGCCTCACGTGGCCGTGGCCAGGGAGTTCTGTCGGTGCCAACACAGAACTGTAACCACAGGGGGCCAGGTGGGGACAGCTCTCTCCCCACCTGAGTGGAAAGTTTCTGAGTCAAGGCCTTTTTTTTTTTCTTTGCTGCCTTAGATAGAACTTGAAAGTGCAACAGTCACAACACAGTCCTGATTTTCAGGAATAAAAAACGAGGTGAGAAGTTTGGAGAAGAAATGAAAAAAAGGATTGCCTCCAAATCACTGTTTTTGCCCTGCCTCCGCAGGACATCGGCTCAATTCATCAGACCACGTGCAAACCCACCACCCAAGTCCTGGGTGCAGGGCTTAACGTCAACACTCACTCGGGTATCGGAAAAATACCCAGGCCAGGCTTGACCAGTAAGACACGCTCTGAGCAAAGCTAAATCCCAGCTGAAGAGCAGAGCCCCTCTCCTGGGGCCACCAGAAAGACCCATGCTCCTTCCATCTGAGGACCAGGTGCTTTCACGGTTGAAACCCAAAGCTGCTGCCTCCCTTCTCCGGCTGCTCAGCCTTTGAGGCGTGGCCAGCAGGTGGCGCTGTGCAGGGAGCCCCGGGCCCTGGGGCCCGGGTTGGGCGGGAAGGGGGATTTTTTATTTTTTTATTTCAGGTGTTGGTGATAAAACTTCACATGACACGACAGAGCATAGAATGAAATAAAGTCCGCTCCACCTCTGTCCTCGGTCCCTCTCCTCAGACAGAGCCCCTCCTAACAGGTTTTTTTTGGTTCTTTCCTGGTTAACAAGTGCATGTTTTTATGGCCCGCACAGATCCACCACAGGTCGACAGGAGGTACAGGGCAATCCCCCGAAATGCACAGGAAACCTCCAAGGACGGGTAGGAAGGACGGTTTCCTGAAGGGCCCTGGCCCGGCCACGTCCGTGAACGTTTTCAGTCCACCTAGCTCAAATTTAAGCGACACAGAAGAGATCCTGAGCTGTTTTCTCAGTTAACATCCTGGAGTCACCGTGTGGCTTTAAGAGAATCACCCACTATTTCTGGCCCCCATTGCCACCACCTGCAAAGCGGGCTGACACCCGCTCCGTCCAAGGGCACGGCGCTGCGTGCTCAGTGGGGCAGGAAGCGCCGTGACGCCGAAACGTGAGCCCCGTTCGTGTGGGCTCGCCACCAGGGCGGGAGTCACTGCAGCCTGACAAACGTCCTGTTTAAAGATGTGCTCCTCATACTTCAACCCAATAATTATTTAGCATGTGTAGATCACGCCATGACTGCCAAGTCCTTTGTACACGTTGGCTCAATTGCTCCTTTAAGCAGTCACATCCTCAAGTTAAGAGGGGACAGACGTGCTGCAAGAAGTTGTGAGCATGTCCAGCCAAGAGTGTGGCAGTGGCGTGGGCGCTCCCAGGACGAAGCGGGGCCTCGGCAGCCATGGCCTCTCCTACCCCTCCTCCCTCCTGCCCTCGGGCTCCCTGGTCTCACCACAACCTTGCAAGTGCCCGGCGGGCTGTTCCGGGTGCACAGGCGGGAGGCAGGGGGGGACCCCACCGACGCTGGGTGATGTCCACTTCCGAAAGCCAAAAGTGAAGTGTGGGGATGTTCGGACATCCAGCCACGTGGCAGTGACGTCAGAACTGGGAAACAGGCAGGTGCCCAAACTTTGCCGGCGCCGCTCTTGGCAGACACTACAGTCGAGGCCCCTGTCGTGGGCTCTACGTGGCCCTGCCCCTTCCCACCACAGTGCACTCTCCGCCCTCTCCCTGCCCCGGGTCCTCATCTCTGATGGGACAATGTGAAGGGCTGTTTTAAACCTGGGAATGGCGCCTGTTACCCCTTGACCCCTCATGTTAGCCTCGGAGGCTCCGTCCCGCGCAGATGAGGGAGAGAGCCATGTGTGCGCCCAGAGCCACCTTTCTGGACCCTTCCCTTCAGCAGTGCCTCCCATGCCCTCCTTGTGTGGGGCATCCGATGTGGATGTGCAGAGTCTGGGACCTGGAATCACACAGACCTGGGTCTGCTCCTGGTCCCGCCTCTATGAGCTACGTGGCGTCAGACAAGCTGGTTCACCTCCCACGAACACTCAGGTCCTCCATCTGCATCATGGGAGGAACGCTATCTTTCTCGGGGTTCTTGCAAGACTGACGTGTGGTAAGCGTGGAACAATCGCCACTGTTGCCCCGGAACATGGTGCTCCCGGAGGGCACGGTAACCTCTCCTGTCTGCTGAGGTGGGGATGGCCGCCAGACGGGGCTGACCTGCACCCTGGCAGGCCGGCAGGAGCACGCTTGTCTGCACTTTGGGGTTGCAAAGGCCTTCCGCATGCGTGTCCACAGTCCAGAACCTGCGCCTACAGTGAGGTCCAAGGCCCAGCAGCGCTCAACCTCCTTAGAAATGCCTCTGAGAGTCTGCATCTCATGCCCACCCGGGTTGACTGGATCGGAGCCTGCTGTCCAGCTCCCCAGTGACTCAGAACACCCCGAAGTCCAGCTTCCAAAGCAAAGCTGCCCACCATTTTGTGGTTACATAACCAGGAGCATGTGACATAATGTCCCCAAGCCTCAGTTTCCCTCAATGTAACAGAAGGGAATGTGGAGCCAAACAACTGCCTCATGGGGTGGTATGAGGATACAATGAGACAGTCCAGGTAAAGCTTTCAGTTCAGAGTCTGGTGCAGAAGAAGAAACACTGGCAACTGGGACCCTCCATTTAGGTAACTTAGACAGCAATTCAGACTCCATGTGATCTCGGGGGTCCTTACAAGAAACCTGTGCCCTGGAAGGACAGGGGGCAGCCTGAGTCTCGGGAGCTCATGGGCCCTGCCCAGGGTCGGGGGGAGCTGAGGCAGACAGGACTGGAAACCTGGAGCGTGTCTGTGTAAGTCCCCGCAGGAGAGTGAGGCTAACCCCCGCCCTTTGCCTAAAACACAGTCTGTCTGCAGACCCCTAGGATGGGGTCGCAGAGAAGAGGGACCCGTCCAGCCAACCGGCACAGTCACATTGGCCCTGTCAACAACCAGCTGGTGGCACCTGCCAGGTCGCCGCTACTAGAGTAGCGCCCAGGGTGTCTGACCTAAAGCATCTCAGGCTTGGGAACCCTGCTGGAAAGGCAGAGCAATTCTCTCCCTAAACGTCCTTCCTAGGTGACACTCCCCTGTGGTTTAGACTGGGGGACAGTCGCCCCGTGGTTGTGCCTGATCACACGCATTGGGTCTCAGCCTTGACAGAGACCTTGACAGAGACCTGCCCTCATGGTTTTACGCAGAGGATGTTGGACACAGGAAGGAGGACTCCTCTGACTCTCGGGGAGGGATCCGCAGACCTTGGCACGGCCGGCTGGCAGTCTCAGCCCTGCAGGGGGCCCTTGGCCCCAGCGGTGGTGTCCCCTAAAGCAGGGAGCTCTGGGAAGTGAGGAAGCCCCAGGGCTCGGAGTCAGGCTGGCGCCTTTCCCTGTTCTGAACTGTTTTTGGAATTGACCTTGGATTCTCACCTTGGCCTCTGCACAGAGAGGGCTTCACAATGATGTCATTCGGACTGCTAGTGTTGTGTTAAGAGAAGAGAAGAGAAAAGAAGGGAAGGGAAGGGAAGGGAAGGAAGGAGGAGGGAAGGAGGGAAGGGAAGGGAAGGAAGGAAGAAGGAAGGAAGGAGGAAGGAAGGAAGGAGAAGAAGAAGGAAGGAAGGAAGGAAGGAAGGGAAGGGAAGGAAGAAGGAAGAAAAGAAAAGAAAAGAAAAGAAAAGAAAAGAAAAGAAAAGAAAAGAAAAGAGAAAAGCCTGTAGAGAAACTAGGCTGGAGAGCAATTTTGCGGCGGCCTCGTGGCCGCAGGAAATACCCTGGTGGAGACATTGATGGCAGTGTCCGACTGGCTCCTTCTCTCCGTCCAGGCCGCACCCTGCACGGGGCTTGTGCTCAGGAGCTGCTTGTCAGAGGTCATATCATTCTGGGACTTGGAGAGCTCTAGAAGACAAATACAAAGGGCGACAAGTGGGCGCACACAGCTTCGCTGAGACCAGGGGCCCTCCTTGGAGAGCCCCTCAACCACACAAGGAGGGGCCCATGAGGGCAAGCAAACGGAGGGGCGAGGGTGGCGTGTGCCCAACGCCAAGCTCCGGGCCCTGGGGGAGCGTGGACAAACCCAGAAGTCCCCAGGCACTGCGTGCTGGGCTCCGGGCCACTGTGGTCTGCACAGGGCAGAGCAGCTGGATTCCTGAAGGCAACTGTCGGACCACCGCCTCTGTGGGCTGAGGGCCACCCTCAGGGTGGGGGTTACAGGAGGGCCTTCCGGGGCAGCCTGTCCTGAGCCTGGGCCACGTGTCATGGGTACAATGTCCAAACACAGGGAAGGTGGCCTAACTAAGCAGCTGGCTTCCTAATGTTTCCTTACAAAGATAATCACTACAAGTTATTCTGACTTTTCAAAGAGAGGAATCCTTGTAACTATTTCAGTAGAAGACCTTAAGTTGGGTTGGTTTCGCCATCTGGATAAAGGTGCATGAATGCCCTGCAGTGAGGGAGCCACCTCGGAGGCGAGTCCCACCCAGCACTGCCTGCCTTCTGCACCCCCCGCCCCTTCGCCAGGCCCCCTCCCCCGCCAGGCCCTCATCGCTCTCCAACGGCGACCTTGACCTATCTTTGGATGTGGGCATTATGTGCTGCCCACAATGATGCGGCTCATGACATTTCAAACGTTCTAGGGGCAGCATTTAAGGAAGGAAAGGGGAAAAGGTAATATAATTTTAAAATTATATTTCATTGAATGAAATATATGCACATATTGCTAAAACACATCATTGATCTTAAAGTTATTAATGAAATTTTAAACTAAGTTTTTAATACTAAGTTTCTAGAACCTGGTGTTTTGCTTTCCACACGGGCAGGCCACTTTCACGAGCCGCCCGTGGTTGGGGCCACCGTGCAGAACGGCGCAGCCCAAGAGCCCTGGAGCCCTTCGGTCTTCTGAGCCCCCGGGGAGGGGGCACTGTGTGTGTGGTGGGGGGGGGGCTGTGCCTCTAGAAGGTGCTGCAGAGAAGTCAGCCTTGGTGTCGGGGAGAGGAGCTGGCAGCTGAGCCCCGGCGGCTGCCACAGTCGGAAGCCATGTGGCAGGGCCCAGCCGAGCAGCAGGGTGAATTTAAACCTCCAAACTCTTAGAGCTAACAGGCCCAGAAATTCGGCTGCTCCCCATTCTGAGCAGCGAGGGGCCGACTGTCACAGAACACAGCCACCTCTCTGCTCATCTGAAAGGCAGCTTTCATTTTGACTGGCTTCATCCAACAGCTCTGAATGGCTCGTGGGAAGCACCGAGGAGTAATTCAAATCAAACGGTAAGGCTGCCCCGGGCCAGGCACAACACGGAAACCACCCACGTGCCGCTGCGGAGACAGCTGATGAACGCGAGCCGCACGGAGCGTGGAGAGAGGGAGTGGAGACCGGAGACCCCGCTCCTGCTAAGAGCCTTTCCAGGAGCCTGGGCGGCTCTGCTCACCTCGGAGGCCCGAGAAGGGGCCTGTTCTCAGACTTGAGTTTTAAGATAAACAGGAAGAAATATCTGAGCGGAAAGAATGTAGAATGAACAAGATTTCTAAGCAGCAGTTCTGGGCTCCTTGCAATGAGCGTGATTACTGCTCATTGGAGAAAATTAATTTACCAACGAGAAAAGGAGACTCAGTGGGTAAGGTCACTTGAAGGACAGCAATGGGGCCCTGCCCGGCCTGAGGGGTTCCGGTCTGGGATTCGCTGGAGTTGCATCTCTCTGGTTTCATGTGGGTCCCTGGGAGAAGCTCGGGTGGGGCCGGTGCTGGATGCGAGCTCCGAGCCCGATGCGCTGACTGGTGCGAGCAGGAACAGGGGAACGGAGCCAGCCTAGCGAACTGAAGGGGTCCCCTCTTACCCAGGCCCCAGAGGCCTGCTCCGTGGGTGGAGGGGTGAGGGGCAGGGGACTGGCTTTCCCCAGAAGCAGAGACAGAGAGAGGGGCGCTGTCACAGCCTTGGCTCGTGGGCTTGGCTGCCCCAGGTGGTCCTGGGAAGAACATGGGTGGAAGCAACCACTTACTTTTCACGTGGGTGGTAACAGACAGAAACAAATTTTCCACGGACTTGTTAAATCCTTTGAGGTGACTGAATTCCTGTAACTGAACAGAGGCAGGAGAAGAGTGTGAGTTACGGGGGACGACCCGCGCCCGGCCCCAGGGGCCTCCAGGTGGCTGTCCCCCCAGCACCGAGGGCAGGAGCAGGGGTGCGCGTGTGGGTGCCCAGGGTCCTGGGGGTGGCGTGCGTCTGGAGCGGGGAGGGCTCTGCCCACTCGAGGGGCTGCTGCCCTCCCGACTCGGCTTTTCTCCTCCGAGCTCTGACACTGTATTAAAGGAGGGGCTTCATCATGGGGCCGTGGACAAGGAAATAACGAGCTCTGAGAAACAGTGACTGACACTGCATTGTCGTAAAGAGTGTCCCCACGCAACCTGCTTCTCTACTCCCGCCCCAAAGCCACGCAGAATGCACATGTCACGGGGTTGCCAGCGGTACTGGCACGAGGTGACCGGCCTGAAGCCACGGGTTAGTTTTGCCTCCAAAAGTGGAGAGAGAAGGAAAAAGGAGAGAAAATAACAGAAAGAAAATCACTTCCCTCTGCAAGTCTCATCCATCTGTCCATCTGTCTATCCATTCATTCATCCATCCACCCATCCATTATCCATCCATCCATGTAACCATCCATTTGTCCATTCACGCATTCCTTCATCCATCCAATCTGTCCATACGTCTGTTCATCTGTCCATGTATCTATCCATCCATCCATATGTCCTGAACACGCTGGTGCTCAAATTGCTTTGGAGAATTTAAAATCTCAAGGAGCAGGTACAGCAGGATCTCGAAGGTATATTTTCTCTCGCCAGCGGAAGCATGTGTTCTATACACAGTGGCCCCTTGCATTCAGAGAAGGCTGACAGTAATGAAATGATCAAGGCCACACGTTTCCATGGCAGTTTAGTTTGCAGGCACCAGCAGAGGCATCGTTCCTTTCACTGCTCACACCAGTCATGGGGGAGGGGGAAGCCGGGTGAGTGTTGCCAGCCCCACCTCTGAGGTGGGGACCCAGGGAACGCTCCCCGCACCACAGGGCTGGTTTCTGTGGACAGAAGTGGCCCTGGCCTGCACCCACACCTGCTAACGATCAGGACACACGCACGCGTCTCCAGGGGCGCCCCACTCTCAGACCCGAGCACCAGCCCATCGCCCTTTGCAGGCCCCGAGCCCCAGCAGGGCCCACACTCAAGGGCACAGTGCCCACAGAGGGAAGAGGTAGGGGTGGGGTGCGGGTGAGGACGTGGGGTGCAGGCAGGAGATGAGCCCGCTGTGGATGCAGATGGCCCTGGAGTCCCCAAAGCCCAGTGGTGGCAGCACAGACACTGGGGAGAGCCCCGTACGTTCAGACCCCGATTGGCCCTTCACTCTCTGCCTCACTCATGACGGTTCCAGCCACAGGTGGCTCCCTCTGCCAAGAAGTCCTCCGCCCAACCTCCCAGCCCCCCTTTCTTCCTGGGGAGGCCCCCAGAGTGGACACATTACCCTGCCAGGGCTGCCGCTGCACCAGCTTTCACTGAGTGGAGGTGGGGTGGGAGGCACCACGGAAATTTTGCTGCCAAAGAAAAGCACAGGAATGAGAAATGGGTTATAAACAAGGTAAGTGCGTCTTACAAACACACAGGATCCATTTCACCCCCTAAGTCAAGTTCTCTGCCTTTGGTGTTTTGTTTTGCTTTGTTTTGTTTTACTTCCTTATTTTTTTTAGCAGAACGCCCGCCTCTTGGACCTGCTGCACAGTGAAGGGCGCAAAGTCCCGGGACCTGAATATGGAACCGAACAGCGTGCAGACCGGCGGCCGGCCGGTGCACCGTCGGCGCCCCCCACACACCACCTTCCACGACAGCTGGTGAGCTCAGGGCCTGGCGGGCAGCCTGGCTGCTCCGGGATCCAGACACGGTGCGTGTGGGGCTCCACTTGGACTCGCTCGTCTTCTCGGTGGAGAGCACATGGGCGGGAGCGCCAGAAACGCCGTGGATGTGAAAATCGACCACGAGAGGAGTTACTGGGCCTGGCCAGGAAGTGTGTTTGGTTTTTCCTGTGTGACGGCCCTGGGAGCGCCCAGTGGTCTTTACCTTCATTGGAAACAATGTTCTTAGATTGTATGGTGACAGCTGTCATGTCAGCATGTGTTAAAGAAAAAAAACTTATCAACATTGGTGAATTTTTGTGCAGCCATTTTAACATTGAAAATGGAAGAAAACACATGACATTTTCAGCGTATTGTGCTTTATGTTTTCAAGGAAGGTTGAAACGAAGAGAAAAGATTTGTTCCATGTATGGAGAAGGAGGTGCTGTGAATGACTGGCTGTGTCAAAAGCGGTTTCAGAAGTTTCTTGGTACTGTTGGCACTTTGGCCAAATGGTTCTTTCCTGTGGGACTGTCTGATGCAGTGGAAGGTGCTGAGCAGCACTCTGGCCTCTCCCCACTAGAAGCCAATAGCGGGAGACAGCCGACACACTCAAAATACCCAAGTCAACCACCTTATTGGTGAAAATGAAGAATGTGTCTTTTATTTTGAGGAAAAAACTAAACAGACTTTTTGGCCAACCCAGTAGAAGCTTGTGTGAAAAGAAGTCACACAAGGAAGAAGTCGGGGAGTAAAAAAAATGAAAAAGCCCTGAGATTGGAAAACCTCACTGTGGCCAAAAAAATAACTGCTGGAGGAGGGCGGAGCTTCCAGTAACAGTGGATTTGGAGGAAGCAGGTGTGCATCTACCGTCTTCGTCCAGAGTTCAAGGTGTGCGAAGGTCTGGGTAATAAAGCGAACATCGCTCCGGCCCTCGTTCAAGTCCACCAGTGTGTATCCCACAGGTGTCTCCCCGAGTCAGGCCGGGGCACGATTCTGGAGAGAGCAATGATTCATAAAAGCAAGGGCCGGGTTTAGAATTTCACTCACCATGCCATCAAAAATAGTATTTTGTTTTCTTATGACACTTCAGGAGAATTTAAGAAATAAAATGTTTAATGAGAAAATACTACACTAGCTTCTAGAAGGCTTTTCATAAGAACTTGAAAATATCTGTTTCCATTTTTTCCAGGCACTTTATTAGTAAAAAAAATTACATCCCAGAGCAGTGACCCCTGAAAGTCAAGAGACCCGTGGCCCCTCGAGCGGGCCCTTCCTGCTCCAGGGCCAGCGGGCCCAGAACGGCCTGTCTTTCTACCAAACTCACCTCAGCTTCTGATAAGATTGCAAGAGCTTTGCTCCCGCCGTCTCGGGTCTGCCTGCAAGAGATGGCAGTACAGGTCAGTGTTATAAGAGCATAACCTAGAGGATGCAAATACAGGAAGGAATAAGTCACAGTGGTTATTTCTCTAGTGTCACTTCTTACAATAAAAACGTAAGATGTTGGGCCGATAACGATGCTGTGAAATCAGATCTCGGGGACCGTTGCATAACTGTAATTCACCGAAAATCATTATTCACTTAAAGAGGTGGGTGTGATGCCACGTGAAGCGCGTGCTACTAAAGCCCCTGTCACACACACGCACCCCACCCCCACCCCCCAAACACACACGGAAGAGGCCCTAAGTGCTGGGAATGGCGGCTTTTACTAAAAGTTGGTGTTGGAGATGTTCTAAATCTGGAAAATTTGAAAAATACTTCAGGCTTCCAAGCTTCTCTTTGTTCTTTGGAAATATTGTATAACTGAACGACTGACTATATTCCTTTAAATGTTGCTTGTTCTGGAGATTAAATTAATCTTTTAAAAAATGTAATCTACTTATTTCTAGCCATAAAGGCTAATTTCCTAAACAGGGCGGCATCTAACACAGTGCTCTTTTTGTTTCAGGGAGAGGGGATTTATGACGTATTAAGACCCTAAAATAAAACTTCGAGTGTCCAGAGTTGGGTGGCCACAGTGTTTCCTGGCCCAGGGCAGAGCGGGAGGCCAGCCAGCCCAGCCCGAGGCCAGAAGGCGGAGTCCCCTGCTCAGGGCAACGTCCCCAGAGGGCCCACGCTGCCTGCAGTCCTAGGAAGTCCTCTAGCTCCAGTTTACCTTGTTCTGGAGGTTTCAGTCCCCCCTGAAGAGAGGCATGTACTTGAGTTCTCTCCGTAAGTCCGGAGGGAGGGCAGGGCCAGAATCAGGGCCAGCAGGAGGTTTGCAAGGGGGCGGACAGCATCTGACACTAACCTGGGAGGCCGCTGACCCCCGGCCCACCTGCCGACCCTGACCTGTGCAGCCCCGGGGTCCTCACCTGGGAGGGGCTCAAGGATGGGCCAGGCCCGGCTACCATCTCAGATTCTGAGCCTACCTGCCCAGGCACATTTTTCTGGGGCTCCTGGCAGTGACCCTTAGATTCTAAAGGAGGCTGTGTGCCCTCTGCCTGGTGACCCATGCTCCCTGAGACAGAGCGAAACTGGCAAAGCCAGCTTGCAGTGTCGAAGCTGCCTCTGCAGGGGTCCCGGGAAGAGAAGGTCTAGGCCAGAGGCAAAGAGACAGCCAGCCACCCCTGCTGCATCATGGCGGTGGTGACAGCAGAGGAAAAGAGGAAAAAATAGCCCTGGGGGACAGCACAGGACCCAAGCCCAGTGAGTCCTGGCCCCAAGCCCTGCCTTGGTTGGGCTGAGTCACGATGCCCTGTGGCTGCCCTGCCCTCGACATCATCATCATCGTCGTGACCCTGGACTGCCTGCTACAACAATGTCCCCAGCCACCAGAGGTACAGCCGTCCCCCCAGGTGTGATGCTACGGCTCTACCGCCTGAGGCCCTCCAGCAGCCCCACTGCCTTCTCCGGTCTGAGCCCTGCGTGCAGTCCTGGGCCTGCTCCCTCCCCTGCAGGCCTTGTCCTCTCTGCTCCGCAACAGGAGAGCCTCTTACTGCCCTGCTCACCCTGGGCCTTGCTTACTCACTCCTACTCACCCCCACTTCCTCTCCTGCTAACTGCCCCCACGCTCCCACCTGGGGTATCCCCACCTTAAACCTCAGCTTAGTCCCCCTTTACCTCATTTCTGAACACCCCACCCGAGCTCCGGGGAAGGCCAGGGAAACAGCTCTCTGCTGCCCTCTGCCGGCCACTGCACCCTTGGCCTGTGGGGTGGGTGCACCCTTTTTGTGAAGGTCAGTAGTAAACACTGTCCCAAATTCTTAACTGCCCTCTGACTGCAGTCACAGACGATATTAAAGGGAGGGTGTGTCTGTGCGCTGACAAAACTTGTGGACACTGAAATGTGCATTTCACGCATTTTTAGATGTCACAAATATTCTTTTCACCTTTTGGACATTCTCCGCTCACAAATGTACAAAATCAGGCGGAGGGACAGGTCGGGCTGGCGGGTCCTGGCTGCCCCCAGTCCTTGCTCCTCCGGGTGTGGGGCCGGGGGAGGGGCGGGGGGCTGGGTAGCAACACAGGCCCCTCACCCGCCAGCCCTTCGGGATCCCAGGGTCAGAATCTCCCACTGCATCTCCAGAAGCTCCGCCCATGCGTCTCTGTCCTCTTCACCTTTTAATTCCCTTTTTATTTTCTTCTATTCCTCAGTTGTTTCTTACCAGAGGCTTCCTTACCAGCAGTAGATACTTGCTTTTGTTAACACTTTAAAATAAATTCCTGTGACTTCTGGGAGGAAATGCTCAGAGAAATGGGTCCCCCCAGGTCCCCCAGAGGTGGGGCTCCTGGCAGAAGGCCCCCACCCCGTCCTGCTCTGGCCAGAAGCCTCGTTAAGAAAGTGGCTTTCCTGGGTGCAGCGGCGCAGTGGGGCCCCCGTGAGAAACGAGGGTCCCAGGCCACATTCGGGAAGGCCCCGCTGACACTTAGGAGCAGCTGACTGCACGGGGTCATCACCAGGTGTCACCCCAATGTTATAAGTGCAAACCGAGGCTCAGGGACCCAGAGTCACAGCTTACAAACAGCACCACCTCTTGCCTAAAAGCTGGGCATACAGGAGGCAGGTGGGACAGCAACCGAAGTGAAATGGGGTGATGGATGGGTGACCGGTGCACAGGGGGGTTACATTCTACTCATGCTCGTGTTTAAAAGTTTCCCTAGTAAAAAGCAAGGGGAAACCACACATACGTATAACCAACAAGAGAGCGACTCTGCCCGGGCACGTCTCTCTGGGTGACACTGCTCCCAGGGAAGAGGGCACGGCACCTCGGTCGCCCGGCCTGACCCCAGCACTGGCAGGGGGCTGAGGGGCCTCGTGTCCTGCCCGGGGGTCTCAGCGGTGAGTCTTCTCCCCAGACGTGGCCCCTGACCTCCCTTCCTATTTTCGGTCTCCAAGCAGCCTGTCCTAAGGGGAGTCACACCCCGACAGCAGCAGGGCTAACCCCCACGGACACAGGGCAGGGGGCCGCCCAGGCCACGGAGCAGGGCAGCATCCTGGGCAGGAAACCAGACCCTGGGGGCCCAGGTGTGGCCCAGAGCAAAACACCGGCAGGGTCCCCACACAGAGGCTCCCGGGGAATGTGCCGACGGGCCCCTTCCTCAGGGTGGCTTACGTTCCCCCCCAGGGGTTGGCTGTAATACACAGTGCATGTCAGAACACCCTGCGCTGCACCTTCCGGAACAATTGCCGAGATGCCCACACAGACGCAGGGTGTCGGTGCCGGTGCCGTGAGCAGCACCCTCACAGCCGTGGCCCCACTGGCACTTGTGGCTCCTCCCCCTTGGCTGGAAACGGCTGGGTGAAACGAGGGTTGGAAGTGGGGCGGACAACCGCGTTGAGTTTCAGGACGAGATTGCAGCTCTCTAACCCAGTCTTTGGCCCACAGGGGCAACAGGGAAAGTCTCTCAAAAAGTTTGAGCTTGAAATCCCTTGTCACATAAAGAGTCACAATGTGTTGCCCTGAATGGCTTCGGGTCTGGACCCCAGAGCCTTTCCAGGTGTGTTTCAGAGACGTTTGGAGCTTAGAGACAGAGCACCAGGGGCTGAGACACTGCCCGGGGGTGAGGGCAGATCGAGCACACGCCCAGGGAGCAGCAGCTGACGCCTCCAGAGTGCGGAAACCTGCCCCAGCAGACCTACCATCCGCTGGCGACGGCAGCCCTCCTCCTGACCCTTCGGCGGCCGGATGTGCCAGAGGGGAAAGAGCTCTTCCCTTTAACCGGGCTCCCCACGGTCTACCAGCAGATATTCTGGATGGTTCCGTGTGGACCATAACCTCCGAGCGCTGGGCAGGGGCTCTTCCACACGGGCGCACATGAGAGTGGGGGACGCGGGCCAGGTTTGCGGGGTGCCTGGGACAGTGGGGTGTGAACTGCGTTTCAGCACCCTGTGATTCCCTCTAAAAAGTCAGCGTGGGCTTTAGGAGTTCTGTCTCCTGAAGATCCTGGATGTTAATCCTTCATCGGGGTACGTGACCTGCAGACCTTTTCCTCCATCCCTGGGGGCCTTTCGCTCTGCTGGCAGAGTCCTCTGGTGCACACAGGTCTTTCATTTCAATAGAGTCCAGCTTGTCTCTTTTTTCTTTTGTGGCTCATGCCTTCCCTGTCATGGCTAAAAAACCATTCTCAAAGTCAATGCCACCTTTCCTCCTACGCTTTCTTCTAAGAGTTTCATAGTTTTAGGTCTTTGATCCATTTGGAGCTAATGTTTTGCACACAGTGGTGGGTGAGGGGCCAACTTCATTTTCTGGCTTACGGACATGCAGCTTTCCCAGCACCGTTACTGAAAAGACTAACTACCCTTTTCCCATTATGTGATATTGGCAACCTTGTCGAAAACCCTTCGACTTTATATGCAGAGTTTTTTCCTGAGTTCTCGATTCTGTTCTGTCTTGACGGCTTTCTTTTCGCCAGGGCCACACTGCTTGCATCACTACGGCTCTGTAGGGAGCTTTGAAATCAAGAAGTGAGTCCTGCAGCTTTGTTCTTTTTCAAGGAACAAACGAAACAACCCAATTCAAAAAGGAGCAAAGGACTGTAACAGACAGTTTGCTAAAGAAGATATACACAAGACCAACAAGCCCCGGAAAAAAATGTCTAACATCACTAATCATCAGAGAAATACAAATCAAACCATGATGACACAGCCACTATGGGAAACAGTATGACGTTTCCTTGAGCAATTACACGTAGAACTTCTGTGTGACCCAGTGAGCCCCGTTCTGGGAAGATGTCCGAAGGACATGGAAGCAGCATCTTCAATACATGCCTGCACTCCCGTGTTCGTGGTGGCGCTGGCCACAGTCACCAAGCCACGGGAGCAGCCTGAGTATCCACTGGAAGATGACTGGACAAAGAAAATGCGATGGAATACGTACGATTTGGCCACAAACGCAAG